GTCGTTCACTGTGGAGAATGTCTTCGATATTGGCCAGTCGCTTGTCATCTGCAGGCAGCTCAAACAGTCCATGCTCACTATACGACGTAGCGTATGGGTTCAATGTCAGCTCAGCACATTTAGAATCAAACTGCCCGGATGGACAGAAGACTCGTACACACGTGAACAGTTTTTGATAAGAGTGGATCGGTAGCTTCAGGCATCTGGAGGTCTGAAATCAGAACGATTACCTATTCAACTATTCAATAAAACAATTTGATTTCATAAGGAAATATAACTTACGATATATTTCACACAATCATAGAATATGAAGTTATGTCAAGTGGTTCATTGATATATCTATATGGCTGCAACACTGCCGATATGACTTTTAATCTTAACTCACTCACTCATTGATATATATCGTACACTGTTTTGATAGTAACTATATTTATTAGTAGCTATATCTTACTGATATCATCAGACTCATCATCAACATTTTTTTCACCTTGACATTGCAAGAGCCAGGATCTTCTTGCATCCATTTTGTCACTGGGCTGATATCTGATTCGGACTTGACCATTGCCCACTGCATGATGCAGCTCCCGGATGTCTTTCTGGACTCTCCACAGTCAATACTTCCTACTTCAACAGATATATTTGTACAGTCTCCAGTTTCATCTTGTATGACAGAAACGATATTCCCAATCTCTGGAATTCTAGATATTATCACGCCATCAGACAACTGTCCTGCGATACAGGTGTGTCCATAGCAAGGCGATATAGAAGCCCAATAATGGTGTCCTGTTTTTAAATTTAGATTTTCGAAACAATGTCCTGTGCTTCTTCCTGCTTTAACCCTTGTCTCGCTGATGATTCTGACACATGCTTCCGAAGATTCGTTGTTACATGTCCTTTCCAGTAACCGGAGGTGGTAATTGGTGGCAAAATGCGTGTGTTCACTATTACCCTCCCAATGTAGTGTGTAGGATGTCGTTGAAACCTGGTAGTCAGCGTCTTGAACACATCTGTACACTTCAATGTTGTAACTGCTTCCTTTTACGAACCTTAACTGGAAATTCGGATTTGTTGTAAGAGGAAAAAACTCTACATGATAAGTTGAATTATCTACCATGTTGCTTCCAGTGGTGAATAAATCATCTGACAGAAATGTGAAGCCGTCAAAGGTTGTGATGTTTCTGATTATAACACTGTAGTGGTGTCCAAGATGCAGCGGATTGTCGAATGTAACGTTAACGCTCATACTGTGTGAAAGGTTATGTAAATCAAGAAAGTTAACCAGCCCTTCATCATTTAGTTCACATGTAGGGCCATCATAGACAGAAATGGAATGAGGAACATCTGCCACAATCATAAATCCATCTGACGACGAAACAGTCTCTCCACCCGAACATTTCGCCCGAATAGATGTAAAGTACTTGACAAACGTCGAGAGAGTGGATGAGTTGATACAAGCTGTTTGTATATCCGTCCCAGTGACACCTGTAAACGTTGCTACGTCATCCATACCCGCTGCTGACCCGATGCCTATCTCAAAAGTAACGTTTCTGTGATGTTTGAATCCAGACCAGTGAGCACAAGCTGAATACTGACGGTGGAAGTCCACGTCTGCCAAGGAGTTGGCATATGAAGGATCTACATCCACGACCAGAGCTGGACCAGGAGGGAATAGTGATGGAAGACGGATTGACTCTGTTCTTACAGTAGTGAAGTGGCCTGCTGAATTATAAACATACAACTCAAAGAGGCATCGTTTTCCAAGTTCTGAGTCCTGACGCTGCAGAAGGACCATTGGATACTGGATGCAGCCAGCATGTCCCTCAGCTTTACACACCTCACTTGCCCCAGAAGGAGTCTGCAGTATTGGTGTAACATAGTCTTCGTCCATTACTGTAACACATCATACAACAACTTCAACTAGCTATCAACCATACAGCATAGCATGGTTGCTTACAAGGGAAAATACGGCAGATATTAATGTTTTCTTCTTTGATTGGCATTCTAGAAGTTGGGTAGATGAAGAATGAGGACTATTTTTATGGATATACAACTTTTTTATTGTATTATAGGCGACGTTTCGACATAGATTCTAATGTCGTTGTCAAGCAAGTGGTACTTGGGAAGTAATGTGGGTAATATATATATATACATGAGATGTTTGTACAATGGATGAGGGAAGAGGCGAAAATGAGTTGTTCATCCTCATCCCTCATCCATTGTACAAACATCTCATGTATATATATATATTACCCACATTACTTCCCGAGTACCACTTGCTTGACAACGACATTAGAATCTATGTCGAAACATGTCCATGAATTGTAACGAAGTACGTTTATCCGTGACACATTTTCAGCTATTTTAAACATTTGAGTGAAGATTGCAAAAGTCATTACCATCAGTGGCATCAAGATGTCATTAAAACTCACCTTGACTTATCAAAGTACTTAATCTATATTTTTTTATCAGATGCTGTAAACATGGCCTACAGATCTAGTACATATACTGCCTTTCAGTTCAGATGATCTAAGTGTATGTTTTGTTTTCAATAATTATTTTGGATAAATCTACATCACGCTTCAGTCCTACAACCCAATAAATTGCACATTTCTGCTCAGTGTTTTCAAAATTGAAACAAATGGGCATATATATATGTGTTGTTCAAAGTCACACTTAAGTTTTAGGTGCATGCCTCCGGAAGGTGTCAGATTAAAGGCAACGTTAATATACAGATAACATATTGCTAACAAAGGTATTATTATGTCAATGCATCAGGCAAAACAGAAATGATGAAGGGAAAAGTATTTTACAAATTTTCATTAAAAATATATACGTTCACCTTGCAAATGAGACTTACCCGCCCGGTATGTAACTGTGAACTGCTGATGTACTTCTTCAGGGTCTGAGAATGTGTGATTGGTCCAGGTGACTCTGATGTGATCCCCAACTATCTCTGGAACTAGTGTCCCGTGAACGTCTGGGGGAGTGTCATCTATCATCACAGGACCAAGGGTTGCCACTGACGAGACACCAGCCTTGTTTTCTGTCTTGATGAATATGTAAAACTCTGTCCTACTATCAAAACCAGTTTCATGACTGTGGAAACTCGTCTTCCTATGAGTAGGTCTATAACTGGCTAGATCTGGCTTGGTGTATGTTGACACATCATACCCAAACCCTACGAAGGAATCTCGAATTTGGCTTTCGTTTTCAATTAGGCTCCAGTTCAGAACAACTTTGTGAAACGGCACATAAATTACAGTCTCATTCAGATACGGTAGATCCCTACACAGACTGTGAGCTGTTTCGTTGTCTATGTAACGTCCATATACTATTGGAAAACGCAGATTGGTGTCTAGGTTGTTAAGACACCGATCGCGACACATGTGTACCATTGGAAGCCTAGCCATTGTCATATTAGAGTTGATTAGCCATGGTTGATCAAATATGCATTGGAGACTAGATACAGAAGATGCCTGGTGGAGGGTAATGTTTTCTATGATTGGTGGGGAGAGGTCAAATGTAATACCATCTGAGCAGATAACATCAGAAGGCTCTAGAGCATTGTTCACAGCAACAAGTGAAGTAAAGTACCTGCCTTCTTTAGGGAAAACTAGTGATACACTTTCTGTTGTTACTTTTTGAATGATGATATCGCTTGAATTCGTTTGCTTCAGTTCACCAACACTAAGACACTTGTCTGCTAAGCCTACGATGTAATATCGGATACCACTCTCATGGTCAATAAAACCTCGCCAGCTGATCAGCACATGCCCTTCACTGGTGTAATCTATGTCTGGACCATCAATGCTCCCTTCTTGAACGATGCCAACTAAAGGAGGTGACTCATCAACCAGAACATCCAGGTGAGCAAAACTCTTTAGCATGGCCCCATTAGTAATGAAGAGGGTGAAGTAATACTCTCTGTTGTGTTGACCTGTGTTCGTATTATTGGCTTTAAGAGAAGTCTTGCCAAGGTCCAGTGTATAATTCTGGAATCCACAGGGCCCAACAGATGGACAGTAACAATCTGGCCCTCGTGGACACCTAACCTGGAAAACAAACAAATAGTTACTTAAACGTGAAACCTGTAGGGCATAAAAACTATGTCGGATATGATGGAGCTATCATGCATTGTGATGCCGGTGAATTTCGTTTTCTAACACCCTACACACAATTTCCATTGTAATTAGAATTATATTTAGAAATTGATTTATGTAAAAACACTTGCAATGTATTTGGCAGTAATGGGAATAGAGATATTCGAACATCGGATGGTAGTTGTATAATTCGTAAACAAATCAGTGTGCCCTGGACTAACTTTTCTCATGCTATCATATATGCATTCAGAGTAATGTTCATAACTAGACAAAAATGTTTGCGCATTTTCATTAACACATCTGATCTTAAGTAAGAACATGCATGAAATATCCAAATACGGCGGTGTTGTTTTCATAATATAAATCAAACCCAAAATACGATTATCATAAATTCCAATATAAAATAAATATATTTTCCAGTACACTCCAAATCTTTCCGAATTCAACTGTGCATTACCAGAGCATCGAGTTTCCTGACAGGAAGTGCACCGTTTCCGAGATCTGAGCCCGCATCAGTTGTTCCAAGCGCCCACAGGACAGATGTGATCCCACTGTGGACATCCCACGCTCGAAACTGAAGAACCATCGTAGAGAGATCTGTGTTGTTGTGAACATATACCTGACTCGTTCCATCTCTAACAAGCCAGGTATCAGCGATATCAGCCACACTCCTGTCTATGTGCACAACTACAGACTCCACAATGGTGTTCATCATAATGTCCTGGGCCTTAATCCAGACTTCATATGTTTCACCATCAGTCAGATTCAGACCGAGGCTCAGAGATTGGTTGGTAAAATCTGAAACTGATGCCCACGACGTTTTTGAACCATTGTTGAGACTCCATTTGTACTTGAAACTTGTGATGCCATTGATACTCACGGTACCGGTGACAGGTAGAATGCCCGTTACTTGATCATATACACCTGATATACCATTGTCTGTGTCTTCCTTTACATGGCAAAAATAGTTATTGTTTATGTAATGTTCATTATGATAGCGTTCGTTCCAGTCTAACTGAATGTCCCCATGGTGGATTTGCCAAGTATAACTAGTGTCCTTTGATGCAGATATTACCCTCAGTGCTTTCGTTGTCCTAACCTCAAGTTCAGATGAATTATCGTACAACAAAAAACGCCGACTATACCCGACATTTCCAGCAACATCGTGGACTTCCACATATGTAACATACATGGCAGGCTCTGATGGGAGTGAGACTGTGATGTTCACACTGCTGCCCGTTAGGTGGCTTGAATGAGATATATTGTTGGCATAGTCGACATCCAGTGTATTCAGATCTAAGTGCTTCACACCATACACATGGAACTGATAGTACTTCACCCCCCGAGGCTTTTTCTGGGGACCCTCGCAGTGGGTACGGATCAATCCAACCCGACACCTCAACAGTGATGTTGGGGGATCTGGTGGTTCTGGTGGATAAACGCATGGGGGTGGCAGAGGAACATGGGAATCTTGAATCTGTTGTACAGTGAACTGGGGCAGCGTTGTCGTATCTGAAGCAGATGGTCTTGCTTTCGGAGAGGGGGGTAAACCTTTCGTTCCCAATGATGTCTCTATGGAAGTTTTGGTAATCGAATGAACCCCCAGAAAAGACCTTAATTCGACCACATAACCTGAAACCATAATTTAATATGTTTTTATTGCTTACAGAAATGCCATGTTTTGTGATGATTATGAATGTAAGAATGTGTTGTAGTATCAGTAAATAAGATTTAGCTACATCAGTTGTCCAATAAGTGGACAAATGACGACAAAATGAACATTGAATCATTATTTTCCATTAGTGAATATCAACTTTAATTACGTGGAGATGACCACACTTGTACTTGATCACTGTTAAACAAGGTTTTACCATTCTCCATTTTGCAGGGAGGATGAACCAATCAGTACTCTGTCACAGGACAGACTTGGTGAAGGTGTGGACGACGAGAGTGTTTTGTTGCAGTTGCCACCTCCCCTCAACGGGGTGGAAGACAAAATGTGTTCTGCACCTTTAACATGTAAAAATATTGATTGATACATTCTGGCCTTCAGGAATCATAAAAAAATATCCTGTTATCATTTTTTATTGTGATCACTAACTGGAACTGATTCAAAAATACTTCGTATTGATGTTGTTTGATTAATACAACTGACGCCCGATACACACCTGCTGGTTTTGTAAATATAATTTATGATGTGAACATATGATCATGTGGGTGGGTGGAGTTGTGTTGTTTTATACAGCCTTAAGCAATTTTGCGATCTGACGAGCGAACGCACTGATCACTAGGCTACCCCCACCGCCCCTATTATAACGGGAAAGTGACTCAAATCGCCCGACTCAATGGGATCCCACAGTGGAAAAGACGTGTTTATCTGCTGACTTGTAGACTTGTGTCTATCTATGCTTTTATCTATAATGCGATATTAAGCAGCAATACCAAGGGGCAGTCGGCCAATGGCAAATCTGGAAGTGTTTCTGGCATTCCTACAACAACACATAGCATTACATTGTTGAGCATTTGAAATTGGGGTCGCGGGTTGCAACAGATTACGATGCAGGCCAGAAAATCAAATTTGAGCTGATTATGTTTACTGGTTTCTAAGCACCGGACCCGTCATCAAGCACTATTCCAGAATGATAAACGTCTTAGACCTGATATTAGCTTCCTTCCACAACCATCCTTCACGTCCTGGTGTAACCGATCAAAACGGCGTTAAAGACATCTCACTCATCCTCTCACTGACTCACTCACTCAATAATACGTTGGGTGCTGTAGCGTATTCTACCTGAGATGTCTTGTCTTGTAACTGTGAGGCTACTGTCCACGATGCCGATATAGGTCCTGTTGATATACACAGGCGGAGTTGATAATATTTTCTTTTGGCACTCAGAAGTTATTTTAAAGGACATAGACTCAGGTTGTATGTTGATATATATGTCTGTCTGTGAATAACAGCTTGTGGTGTTGCCAATACTGGTGCTGTTCCTGACCTCGTGTCTGTGGTCTTCTATTCCAATGTTGCAAGTGAGCAAATCCGCCTTTGTGGTAACTACAAAATAAGATATCTGATTGTTTGTGTGGATATAGTATAATATTTGAAGCACACATGTATTGGTTAGACAATGAATGAAAGCAGCACTAAAGTTTAAGTAAAGCAAAACGCAGTGTAGTTGGTCGCTTGTGATCATGATCAAAATACTTATAAATTCAAGGTTATCAATATCTCACGGGCCTGTAACCGTGAACCTGTAACCAGCTTTGTGATAGAGTGAGTTTATGATTATGGTTTTTCGCCGCTTTTAGCAATATTCCGGTAATATCACCAGAATTGGGCTTCACACATTGTACCCATGTGGGGAATCGAACCCTGGTCTTCGGTGTGAGTTCGAACGCTTTAACCACTTGGCAAACACCCCTTTATGACAGGCGTTAGGAACAGACAGTGATAACCATGAAAAACATCCACGGGAGAGATATTCGGAACACAGTCAACTAGTGTATGGAGAGGGTTCTATGCACCAGCTCTATGATTGACTGCGAAACCCAACGATGCAAGCTGGAAATATTGAAATTGAGTGAGAGTGCTTGGTCCAGAAAATGCACCAGGAAATCCCTGTCACACAGATTAACTATGAGCATTATTATTATCAAAGAAGGTTTTTTTTCATAATCACAGAAAGTATTTGAGATTAGCTCGCTGAATCCATACCATGTGGATTCTGAGAACGTCTCAAGATTTGCTTGGGGTCTTTTTTCCGTGAAAGAAATTGAAATGTTTAAAGTGTTTAAACTTTGAACACCACTATGTAACTTGGCACCAATAAGGAGAAAATGTCATTCTTTAATTTATGGACGTTTACTGAAAGAACAATATGTGAGATGATGGATTTTCTTATTGATAATTGTGCACGTACAATTTTTGAGACAAGATATTTAAGCAAGATGCAGGCATATCCCGTCCGAGATACGATCTTGAATAGACATGTGAAACCACCTCATCACTGTTATATTTAGATATAATGCATATGCCTTCATATTTAAAGGGGGCGTAGGGGTAACCTAATGGTTAAAGCGTCGGCTCGTCACGCCGAGGTCCCGGGTTCGAATCCCCACATGGGTACAATGTGTGAAGCCCATTTCTGGTGTCCACCGCCGTGATGTTGCTGGAATATTGCTAAAAGCGGCGTAAAACCAAACTCAGTCAGTCATATTTAAAGTAAAAATATAACTACCCACAAGAATGTGTGACAAGAATAATGATGTCTCTTCAAGTGTCTTTACTGTGTTCTTTTTAGGTACATTGAATCATGCCCTTCTTATGAAGATAATACTTTATGACAAATGACTCCTGCTCGACAATTGACTGATCAGGGCCTAGATTTTCGAAGCTCTCTTAGCGCTTAGATAGTCGGAAGTGCCATGCATTAACATTAACTTACGACTATCTTAGCGCTAAGAGAGCTTCGAAAATCTAGGCCCAGGCGTCAGTGTCTAAGTAGTGGTCTTAAAAGGATTCACTGCAAGCATGTAGAGGGAACTTCAAAATCTGAAGCATCAAAAGCCTATGTATGTCATGTATAAATGTGATTTCAGGTGAACAGATGACTTGCCTTTGGCAAGTTTCAAGGCTATGGTAGGATATGCTCATCCTTTTCTCATCAATGATTCCTGCACACATGCTTCTGGTGAAGCCGTAGTGGTACAATGGAAACAATGTTAACTGCTGTGTCGAGGAGTCAGGTATACCTTATGTAATGACATTGACCACTTGCATATTAGAGTTACCTCGCTTTCACGACGGGAAGCCTTGGTGGTTTATGTGTTCGCTACCCGTGAAGGTCCGGGTTAGAATATTGATCTTCAGTAACCCATGCTTGTCGTGAGAGGCGACTAACGGGGTCGGGTGGTCAGGCTCGCTGACTTGGTTGACACATGTCATCGGTTCCCAATTGCGCAGATCGATGCTCATGCTGTTGATCAGTGAAGTGTCTGGTCCAGACTCGATTATTTACAGACCTCCGCCATATAGCTGGAATATTGCTGAGTGCGGCGTAAAACTATCCTCACTCACTCACTATGTGTTTGCTCGACACCCCGATGATTCTGGTTCGCTTCATCAATTAAACACAATGTGTGAAGCACAATTCTGGTGTCCCCTGCAGTGATATTTCGTGACTGTTGCTACAAGTTGCGTTAAACCATACTCGCTCATTTTAGGGACAGACTACGTGATTTGAGAAACCTTTAAGTAGTAGAAAAAAGTGCGTCTAGAAAGATGCGTGCCAGATGAGGGCTATTTTACTTTTCTCTTCAACTACCCGGACGGGATTTAACTGTCATGAATTGTCAAATTGTGAAACACTCACTGTCACAGGTGGAGTTCCCTGACTTCCTGAATCCACTTTCACACGAGCAGGATGTCATCAGACCACTGGAACAGTTGCCAGGCCAACACCACCTGTTGTCCACGTATGAGCAGGTCACTGGAATATAGATGAAATCAAAGGGACTAATTGAATTATTGTAAATATAGATCTTGACATAATTTGAGGATTACATACTGTTCATTATAATTTCTGATGATTGATTTAAATGAAGTGATTTTAACAGCATCATTAAAGAGTCCAATTTGATTTATATAAAAGACTTATAAACACCTAACGCCTTGCTGTAACTCTAGCATGTTAAATACATATAAAAGAAAAGAAACGAATATATATATATACTGAGTCAAAAAAGAAACTTCACATTCTTTCTTCAGGGCACTATAAAAGAACAAGAGATGGTAAGATGGTTAAATTGTTATAATTTCATTGCTGAGATCTGTGTGATGTACTCGATACACTGACAGTGCCATAATCAGTTCCATTAGGCTACACCGCCGTGCCAAAACATGGGTATACAGAATGTCAAGTCACAAGAATAAAAATGTGAAATTTCTCAGTTCAATATCGTGTATGGCCGTCCCGCGCATTCACTACTGCCAAACACCGTCTCCTCATCGACTGCCTGATGTTTGTGAACACGTGGTTGGGGATTCTGCGCCAAGTTCCTGCAAATTCTGAGGTTTGTTTCTAAGACCACGAAGCCTTCTGCCAAGTGCATCCCAAACGTGCTCTATTGGATTAAGGTCAGGGGACCTCGATGGCCAGTCCATGACGTTGATTCCAGCGTTTTGAAGGAAATTTCGTATCAACATCGCGGTATGCGGCCGAGCATTATCATGCTGGAACTGTAGACCTGGGCCATGGGGTGAGCACCTGGTCGCGGTAAGCAGCAGCTGTGAGGTGTCCACGGATGACCAGAAGTCGGGAACGGTTGTTCCCACAGAAAGCACCCCACACCATGCAACTTCCGCCCCCGAATCTGTCGACTTCCTGTACACAACATTGGGCATACCGTTCACGACGTCGTCTCCAGACTCTATGCCTGCCGTCTGCGAATCTGAGGGTAAACCTGGATTCATCGCTAAAGACGACTCGATTCCAATCTCTCTGGGTCCATCGGAGGTGACGTTGGGCCAACAGCAGACGTTGACGTTGATGAAACGGCATCAATATTGGCCCACGATATGGACGTCGAGAATTGAGACTGGCAGCCCGCAACCGATTTCGAATGGTCTGTGAGGACAGTCGACCTCTAAACATCTCAGCCCTGGTTCGTGTAGCCGGCAGAAATCGGTCACGTAGGTGACGTAGGACGATTTGACGGTCTTCTGCTCGTGACGTCACACGTGGACGACCCGACCTTGGGCGGTCAGAAGTGGTGCCAGTTTGTTGTAGACGACCTCGCAAGTCATACACAGTACGACGGCTGCATCCCATAGCTCTTGCGACGTCAATAACTGATCTTCCCGCTTGCAACATGCCAACGGCACGTTCACGTTGCAGATTTGACAATCGTGGCATTTCAAGTACCGTTAGAACTGTGGTTTAAAAGTGTTTTTTCAATTCTTGAGGCCAATGCAAACACGTACATATGAAGAAAACTTCGATGCGAAGATCACGTGATCGACAGCACGTGCAAAACCTGATTTGGCACTAACGTCATTTGCACGTCGAATGGATGGGTTTGCGTGGGTTTTGCTAACGTTTTTCTAGAGTCGAAAGATAGGGATCCCATTTCGGATACATAGATGTATCATCAGAGAAAAATAATTCATTATTTTTCAAATTACATTTTGTGAAGTTTCTTTTTTGACTCAATATATATATATATATAATAGTTATTATGATAATCGAATTATCATACTCATACTCGTAACACCACGTCGTAGTGTTTGTTCGTAGGGTTATTTACAGATGTTTAACATTTTCATTGTTCTGATAACTAAACTCACAGTCACATCTCTCCTTGTCTGGACTAAGCCACTGTAGGGACATTTCAGCTGTACTTCCCATATCCTGACAAGAACCTGGAATGCAAAATGCTTCTGTCAGATGATCACTTCACGATGTCACACCACACTTCTCATAAATACATAATGCATTTCTCTCAATAATACTATCAGCCCTCAGGGAAGCTACCATATAATCTATTCCCAAAAAATACGTATTTAGATTACAATGCTAAATTAAAAGGTTCGGATGAATTAATGCAACGATGCATTAAATCGACTCTCGTGCCCTCTACCGGCCGAACTTTATTTCAAGCGAACCCCATAGAGTTATGTCCCTTGGAACGTTTTTTACGAATAATGTACGTGCAAATTGTGATTGAAACCAGTTCGGCAAATACCGACAACACCGCTTGCGACAGTTTTCGATGTTCGCATCAATCGTTTACATTCCACATATGGCAAGTGTTATATGTTTGGAAGCTGTTCGCCTCGAAGTTTGAATTATCAATTTCAGGCAAGTCGTAAGGGATAATAACAATTTTATTGCATCAACAGGAAGCTAAAGTGAGTGCATATGCCCCTAATATATAAATTATAGACCAAAATATTGTTGAAAATATGTGACATTGTGACTTTAAATGTATTTGGCCACAATTCCACATAGATGTTGTCAGTGTGGAGGAAATGAGAATGTAAGACACATTACTACTGCTGGTACACTTTAATTCTACAATGAAGAAGTCACAAGACAACGTACGTTCGCATGTTGTGTTCCCTCCAGTTAGTTTGAAGATGACGTTGTTTTTTGTGGGTGGATTGCAAGCGTCACATGTCAAGCAAGGCTGTGTCTGACAGTTTGGTATGACAGGACATCCTGCAAGGAGACAAGAGAAAATCAGAACTAATCAAATGTGACATAAATTTACAATAAATCAATGTCTTTCCGGAATAATGTACATGCCATTCATCGCAGAACTATTCATATTGACATTCATCGTTGATATCCTTGATATATTGATATTCATCCTTGAAATATGGATCAACTTACTGTCGCATGTTTCTCCGTCTGTAGATAATCTAAAGAAATAATCCTTCGACCGTGACTGGCATGTTGTACAGGTTCGACAACGCTGTGTTACACAGTTGGCTATATTCGGACAATCTAAAGGGAAAACAGATTATTCAATTTCATATATGACACAAATAATTGGGATGAAAAGGTTTTCTATTTTGTTTATATTTTCATGACGTTTCATCAATAAGATATTGATCTGTGTGAATGTCACCATACATTAAGTGTGTGCCTACCTGTTCTATGCCTGAGGTCTTTACCATTGCGACCGCCGTCTAACCAGCAGTTACATCCGAATTCATATATTACATCCGGTTCAGATAATTCATAAATGTGCACCTGTCAAAAAGAAGTGTTACAGATACATGTAACCTGCAGTGAGGATATGGATAGTTTGTTAATACACCACTACCGGACGGAACCCTCTGTTGACTGAGTTACAACTGGTCTGTTTCGTCACAAACAAGATTCAAAGAAGTAAGTAAGTAAATATATTTGGTTAACTTAAATCAATATCAAATATTAAAAGATGTTGAAATACGTTTTTGAAACTCATGTATTTCAATGTGATTTAAACTTATCCTTAAAATAAAATTCTTGAGAAATTTTAAAGGGTTTGGATCCCCAGTTACGTGTAATAGATAACTGTATATAGTCTTCCCAGAAATTATGGAGAAAGTTGTTTCGGCAAATATTTAATACATGTATATAAACTATAAATGTTTTACTTAACTGAATATTTTGAGATATGATTCTCATACAGTCTAAGTGTCTTTCCAGTACTTTGTGATACCTCCTTGCCCTGCAATACACGACTGAATGCGCCTAAGTACACTACAAATCAAAGTTTGTTTGAAATAGTGTGACAGCGTATCTCAATATTCGAGCACTTCTTTCTTCATACCACAATATAGCTGGAATATTGCTGACTGCGGCGTAAAACTCAACTCACTCACTCACTCTTTCTTCAGATCCTCAAGATTTCGTCCTTTTTGGTTTATTCTGTCCTTCATTAGTCCCCACACATTCTCAATAGAGTTAAGAGCTGTAGCTGGGCCAGCCTAATACTTGGAACATTTTCGTCCGACAACCACTGTTTGTGCAGCCCGAAGTGTGTTTTGGGTCGTTATCATGCTGGAAAATCCAATTATCTTCATACAGTGTTCGGGTCATTGGAAGGAGGTGACCATTTAAGATGTCAACATATCGCTCCTTTTTAAATTGTCAAATTCGTGAAAATGCAACGGCGTCACTCGATGATATCCCACCCCACGTGTGAAATTTCGGGCTATGTTTTGGGAGTTGGTAGATGTTTCAAAATTTTCACACAGTTCGGAGAAAGCCAGACAGAACTTACATCAGAAAAAACAACATTATCCCAATTTTGATTTTCGTGAACCCTACACCAGTTTAAACGTGTTTTTCTGCATCTATCATCAATGGTGAGGGAATTCCGCGCTTTTTCATCCTGTTTAGTCTTTGTAATTCTTAATCACCTCATTTCTGATATTCTCAACGCTTTTCAATTTTCCTGACTGAATATTCTTCAAAGTACTGTATACTGTAGACAGAGGAATGTCATGTCTACCATGTCACACCCCTTTCAAAATCATCTGGAACCAGCTTTCTTTTCTCTTCTGCTGTCAAATCTGCCACGTCAACACATGAAGCCGTCAGCTACACCAGGGGAGATAACTCTTGATGTAGTAAGGTTAATTTTTAAGCCTACAAGAGTTGCCTCCCATATTGAGTACCTCACGACATAATGTAACACCTATTTTAAAATTATATTATCAGTATTAGGAAACAAATATTATCTCAATAATTTCTGGAAAAACTGTAAAGTCACTCTTGGAATCGATATAGTGAGGGACTACTTGGAGAGAATGTCCCGTTGGCGGGAGTTGAATAATGATACACGATGAAGGATTTTGGCGTGAGCGAAAACATGCGTCTTGTTACAGAGAACGTCCTGTTTAAAGATGTTCAGTTATATGGAGTACACTATTTTCCCCAAAGCATTCAAATATTCTAATATAAGTTTATATAAATCACATATATGTGTTTACGTATATAATAACATCTATTCATATATATGAAAATGTGAAGAACCATTTGCCTTTTCGTGTATACGAGCAATAAAAGAAGGTGATGGTGAGCGGTCAATGTTCGGCTCATTGGAGTTTACAACCTGAGTTTAACACACAATTAATACATGTTGGTGTCCCCTGTGCCAGGTGACTGAATTAGTTGTTCACTTCATCTGTTCACTAGTTGGGCATTAAGGAATAATGTAATAGTGCTGATTCAAGCCTACAGGAAGATGAGAATACAATACAAACATTACCCAGTCTAACTTCCACCCAGGGCCACTTCCCTGGTTGTTATGCCAAATCCTGAAACAAACAAAAATACTATGGTATGTGACAACAAGTCCCAGGAATATGTACCGAACATTGTATCACGTACCATCCCCTTACCAGTTGCTTGGCAATATTCGAATGTTCCCACACTGACAGTGTTTGCTTTCGTTATCACTTCAGGTATCTAGTGTTATTTCCATTTGATCGTAAGCCCATCCCATCCCTATCACCACGCTCTAGACATATCTGTATTTAATCCATACTAATACTTTTATAAGTACACGATAAATTAGGACAAAGCCTATGTTTACAACAATTTATTTTCACTTTGATTTAGGAAATAAAAAAGTTCATAATCGTGTTCTCAGGCTGGAGTCTGTGGAAATATTTTGCCCTGCAACTTCAACATTGATGGAGCCGTCAGTGTCAATCAGACACTCAATATGTTCATTTCTCGCCTCTCTGCAGCCCACTTTGTGCGAAACAAAAGCATCTCGACATTTGTTGACCTCATGCAGGTGAGTTACCACCCAAGTGATCTTACCAAGGGACGCAACTTTGTATGTTGTCGTTCCCACTCTACCCAAACTGTCGACGATTGTTGGGATGGGCAAGCTGTCTCCAACCCTGTTTTATTTTCGTGTAAAATCAACGCAATACCTTGTGGACGAGTTGCGTATTCTAACCCAAACCACCCTGATTTCCCAAGCACTGTTGTTTGGTCTGATTAGATCCTTGGCAAGACTTTCCTCAACAAACTGTCCAGTATCTTTCAGCCTGTTATGATGCCCCTGATCTGGTCTCTGAACCACTGGCGTGGCATTTGCAATGGGAGCTAGACGTTCTATTACATCTGTTCTTCCTTCCCAAGACACCATCAACTGAGAATATATCAAATGCTGTTGTCCAGCCAGCACTGTCTTCTTTTGCGGATATCACAAGTGCTAGACATTTTGTCAACTTCATCTGCCATTTGATGCGGTGTCTTGCTTGTATTCCCAGGAGTCCTAGCTATCTCTGGATCATTTACAATAAATGTTACAACTGCTCCTATCACCCTTCAGGCAGTGACATATATACCACTGTTATTGGGGTCTGCCTTTGTCTCTGACACCCGGCCACATCACCTTCCAAATCATTTTGAACCGTTAAATCCAGAAGATTCAGTGAGATCCACTATCCTTGACATGCAATCTCGCTTGCATACTGCACCTTGTATCAAAACAGTATCTCGGATATATCAATTTGACCTATGGTGTATTTGGTGAAACATTGTTTGAACCGTTTCTCTCACCAAACAAAATATAATTTGCATCATACCTTAATGCTTATTTAAGTCCCAGTTTGGAAATGACAGTATTACACAGCGAATCTGTATGATTCAACATAGTTTGAGACAACTTTACAGTCAGGAGTATCACCAAAAGCAACTGAAATTATCTCAACACTTTGGTGCCTAATATAACAACTTTTAAATTTTAGGGTAAAAGAGAGGATGTTCTGATGACAATGATTCCAATGAACCTGATATGACTCTCGCTCAAATGCTGTTTGATAAGAGTTGAAACCCACAGGCCAATAATAACAAGGTCTTACTGGACATGGAATTGTACAATCAACTGCGATTTAGCAAATATTTCATATTTCCCTCATTTATCAGCTGAACAAACAAACAAACACTATCAGTTTCGTTTACCTTATACTCTGTATTTTCCCTATCTCATTGATACTACGCATACTGGTATCAACATCTCTTCTCTCAAAGTGTCCGTCCATATCCATATTTCGAGAGCTGGCTTTCTCGCCGTTAATTTTCATGGTGACGGTGGCATCAGTACCCGAGGAGAGACTTCCACTTGTCCGTATAACAATCTTTAAACCTAGTTATACATACGAAAATCAGATGACGTTATACAATGAACTTATTACACTGTACAAATGTATATAAATCTTTTAGCTACTGATTAATATCCTTTTTAAACAGAGGCAAAGTTAAAGTGTCACAAATGGCACCAATAACAACGGACTTGTAATCACTGAGCATATTCACATTTTGTCAAATGTGTTTCCAGTGTCTCTTCTAGGCCTAATTACTTTGATCTGCAATAGGAGAGAGGTGCCTCACTGTTTCCCGAAATATCTATGTGGTTTATGTATTTCCCAACATTATATAAACTACTTCTTTGCTCCCAATCCAATGCATGGATGTATACAACAAGGACAGTTATGTGAAAATATATCATTCTTTGCCTTATAGGTTAATATGATAGTCAGCTCTAAATTCCTGTGGAGGTTCGGGAATGCATAGCTTACGTCGATTGGCCCATCGTCGGTGTCGCCCAAGGTCAGAATGCTGACTATGTGAAAAGTCCCTTGAGCAGTAAAAGTGTGTATCCTGATCATTTACATCGAGAAATTCTGGGATCCAGTCATACTCTACTATTCTGTCACCCTGGGAGATCTGTAACTATGAATATATTTATTAGAAGAAAACCCAATAAACTGTGGGCATTATCGTATTAAATAGTATTCCATAAACGGAATGATGTCATGTGATCTTCACCTGTTACTATATTCCAAAGTACGCCTTACCTCGAGGAAGACATGGCTCACATCTCCAAGATACCTTTCGTTGTAGATTACCGTGCCATTATGAAGTAAGTTCAGAGATGTTGATGTTTGGTCGATCGTGCACCCATTTATGCTCTGGATGTTATGTGAGCATAATCTGATAACCATCTGCGAAAACAACAGCCAAATTCAAATAATTGTATGATATAAATCAAGGGATTATCCGTCACCAGGTAGTGCTGAGACTATGTCAACACTTTCTTTTTGTTTTCAAATGTAGCTCTATCAGTACTTACATTTATGTTCAGTGGATGAAAGCTTTCCTTGGTGAAAGGTTCATTTGGCATCTGTGCTTTCACAACATAGACTCTGCTGAGAGACGTAGTTTCTGGCCCATCTGCTGCCTATAATGAGAGTTATTTATCGGTAGTAAGACTTATGACCATGTAGACAAATGCTGTTTATATATGTATGTATAAACCTTCATTTTCCTTATCGTCCATGTGACATAAATATATGAAATCCTTGAGTAGTTCAGTTATCAATCACTTGCTCCTTTTGTTAACGCGGGAGGACAAGATTGAAATTGAAAAAGAAAGTATTTAACTACCTGAGGTGGTACGTCCTGGTATGTTTTGCTTGTGGTGATGCTGCAATCGAACTTATAGGACGTAGAAACTGAAAGAACGAATGATAACTTGGAATTGGAGGAGGCTGGACAACCTCTGAATAAATATATTATATTAAAAATACATGGATGCTTTGGGTGCTTGTTTGTGTTTGAGTTACGGTTTGTGTCAAGACTTCTTGTTGCGGTCTTCTTCCATCCTGTTTGCACTAACAGTGTATGTTTTGAGAAAATAGTTACTATTAGGGCAGTGTGTAATCACCCATATATACTTGAATGGTGCTATATATTAGAAATAGCTTCTTTTCCCGGAATAACCGCATTTGAGGTTTTTGTTTGCTCCCAGATTTTACTTTTTGTAAGTAAGACCTCTTCCAAGGTTGTACTTTTTCCTAACTCTGTATTAACATCAACATTCAAATTCAGATGATATGTGAGTGTTTGAAATCAATGGAAAAAGATCGACAAAGATCAACGTTTGTGTGCAAATATTTTCTCTTGCAGGATTGGAACCGCATCTATCAGGTTTTTAAGTGGACACTCTACCTCCCAGCCTATCTATTTAAACTATCTATTTATAGATAGGCCTACTGACATTAAATTGATTTTACTAGCGCTTCAGTTACTGTTATGTAGTTTCATTACATGATAATCTAATCATCCATCATTGACGGTTTATATGTATAATAAAGCACTCCTCCTCGGTTATGGTTGGGAAAGTAAGCCCTGATCGACCATCGGTCTCGGGTCTTACTTTCCCAACCATAACCTCGGAGTCGTGCTTTATTCTACACATCAAATATGTTTCACAAAGCAACCTGTTGTCACAAAGCGCCAGTAACCCTTATTAATTGATGTAAATGAATAATAACGTACTGGGAGAAGAACGTCGATGGTGCTATGAAATATACTCGTGCCAATAATGGTTGTCACCCCCCTCCCCACCCCAACACCTCACACCCTCTCCAATTAAAAAAATTGAAGGGGGTGACAACCATTATTTGCATGAGTATATATGAAAGGTTGAAAGGTGAAATAACCCCACAATATCAATGCCGATTGTGTGATTTCGACTATGTCCTGAGCATGTGTAAATGAATCACCATCATTTAGTGATGACACCAACTGGTGTCTACGAAAAGCTAAGCGTATCCTGTCCCACCAGTGGCCCTTATCACAAACTGAAGCAAACGCCTGTTAAGTGTTCGTTTGAATGCACTTATGAAAACAACATATGATACTAATAAAAATAGGAAATTGCATCGGACATCATTCTTTCCAGGCTTTAAATTATGAATGGCCTCCAAGTGTCTGCCATGACATGGGTACATTGTGTGAAGCCCATTTCTGGTGTCCCCCCGCCGTGATGTTGCTGGAATATTGCTAAAAGCGGCGTAAAACCAAACTCAGTCAGTCTGCCATGAAGCTTTACTGAGCCTTGGTGCATTGAAAGTGATCAAAGGGCCAAGTTATCTCAGTTACCAGGGGCGGTGGGGTAGCCTAGTGGTTAAAGCGTTGGCTCGTCACGCCGAAGGCCCGGGTTCGATTCCCCACATGGGCACAATGTGTTAAGCCCATTCCTGGTGTCCCCCGCCGTGATATTGCTGGAAAATTGCTAAAAGCGGCGTAAAACTAAACTCAGTCAGTCAGTCAGTCTCAGTTACCAAGCCGTTTTGTTGCCAACATACCCTGACCCAACAGTTTCTAGGAGTGAACACAGAACAATTTTCCTTTAATGTACAAATATAAGTATCTGGATTGTCTGCACTTCCTGGTCCAAAATCGGTGATCTCTGCAAACGGGAAGACTGTTGTTGTTTTTTTAAATTCTGATAGGCCTGTATCACGTAACAAATCACTCCTACTTTCCTGTAATATGTGACTGAATTTGTGGAAATGTATATCCTATGCATATAACTATATCCATGCATTTGAGAGGGAGTATGTTATTTCATATTTCATATTTCAACAATATTCCAGCAATAATTGTTTGATGGGCATTCTAGAAGTTGGTGAGTCAAAAATGAAACAAAACTACATAACTCACTATATAATCCCCCTTGTTTATTGGCTTCATCACTTGTGATATTTGTTGTTCATAGCCCCCCCTGGCCTCTTCCAATTATGTACCACTTGTTATTCAATTACATGATGTTGTTAATGTTAATCTGCTGTTTGTCATAACATACCATGTATATATACCTTCTCACCATTTGGTTGTTGTCACCTTTAGCTTGATAACGATGAAAGAATTTACATCGAAACGTCGCTTATGCACTAAATATATAAGTTGTATGTTTCATTATCCCGGCAATATCCGGGAGCAGCAGAAAATATGCTTCACAATGTACCTTCACAATTAAGGGTGAACTCCAACGTGACGATTGTAATCACTAGGTTATCCGACTGCCTCGAATATGCATAAACTGATTATATTATCACAAAAAATCATTAATAAATATTCAAAATCATGATATTAACTTCATAATACCAACTTGACTCTGACATATTCTTAAAATGTTTTGTTTTTGTGAATCACAAACATACTTGGAGTCAGACATTGTCACTCATTAGCATGACACTAATTACATTGAAAAGCGGTTGCTTGCTCTGTGTTCGACAGAGGGATTTATGAATCACTATCGCAAACCCCTTTTTCATGGAACCCTGGTGTACTCAGTTTGGTAACTATGCGAAAATCCAAGACTGTTATAGCTACACTGGTTTAATGTTACTTAGTATTTTACATTAGATGGTGTCTGGTATAACACTGTAGTATGCAAATCTGTTATGTAATTGTTTTACGTTTGTAAAACAGCGGGGCGGTGGTTAGCCTAGTGGTTAACCCCGGTTCGATGCCCCACATGGTGTCCCCCATTGCTGGAATATTGCTAAAAGTACAGTAAAAACATGCCCACTCACTCACTGTAAAACAGTGATTTGGAAACATGGCGCACTGGGGAAGAAGAAAAGGTTGAATTGGACTACATCAGACATTCACATACATTATGGTGCCTCATCCTTCAGTGCCATCTATTATCTGTGTATGTGTGCATCCCCAGTCGAGCACCGTGGATGATATCAGACACCAATCAATACGCAATAGAACGAATCGGGGACCGACATTCGATGCCAACACTGGTAATCTATGGAGAGACCCTAATGACAACCAGTCAGTAAATTTGTAAATAAGTAGTCTTTTGTACCTTCCTGCATTGAGAACAGTGGCCATGTATGACGTGGTGGAAGGACTATCGTTTCTAATACATTATCAACCGTCAGTTGTTATCTCTTCGCTTCTGTCAAGTATTTCCTGGATATGACAGCAACTTCAAAATGCACCAATTTGCCCATCTTTATTATATGTTACCTGCATAGGAACCAGGACGTGCTATTTCCAAAGAGTAACGTTTCGTCATAAATAGGTACACCAATAACGACATTTTAGAGATTGTATTTATAATGTTGGCGGACATTTCAATGTGTGTTCGATCGAATGAATGAATGAATGTTTTAAGTATGGACCTGTGGAATAAACAATACAACGGTAGTTCCGACGAGGAGCGTGCAACGTTGAACGAGAATGAAGAATTAAGACCGTTTTAACAAGGCTTATGGTATGCACTTCACAGATCCGCTTGGAAATATATACATTTTAGCTGAGTATGACCGTTTTCAGCTGTATACAGACAACATGCCACATAAAAATCACTGGATATTATAGGATATGGGAAAAGGTGGAATGTCCCCAATCATGTTCTATTTCACATATCTAGTTCCGGGCACATGCTTCGTGGAAATGAAATATGCGTGAATGAGTTGTACAAAACCACGAGTTCAGGACCATTCCTTCCAGTTTCCTCTTATATCCTTAGTATATGAAGAGTGTAAGAAAGTGCAAATGCGTGTACAAATACAGTCCATGTGTATACCAGCCTTGTCGTTTCAAAGAATGTTGTTATTTACTGCTGTATATATGTTACTGTACATGGGATTTAACATTCCTAAACAATGGCAATGGTTTCCTTACCTTCTTGGCAGCATACACTTGTCCATCCCTGTCTGCACCTACACAGACCTGTGTTTTCATCAAACTTCCCTCCATTGAAGCAAAACTTGTTGCACGTTCTGTAGGTTTCGGGGACATCGCCAACGGACCTGCTCTGACATCGTTCCAGACATGTTTCCGTAGACTCGTTGTCATGACAACAACGTGTTCTGTTCCTGGTTTGGTACCCTCCACCACATGATCTACTGCATTCTCCCCACTCTCCCACACTCCAGTCACTGTCCGCCACACATGTTCCACATGCAGAGTCGATACCAAGTGTTGTTATGAGCAATATTAACAACAATATCGGCATTTTCGAAGGTCTGAATTGTCACCCAAACCTTGTATGCACCGTCACAGTTAGCACCATTTATGTGACTATGACTACATGTTAACTGTCTGCTATCATACACGTGTCTGTCTTGGGCAACCAGCGCAATGCATGTTATTATCGTGCAATGTGCTTATCGCAGAGCTCAAACAGCGAATAGCAAAATAGGCTGTGTTATCATTTAGTCTTATCCAATGATATTTCAATAACAGATTACACTTGTCTCCACCTCTCGGGTGGATCTTTGAGTCTGTGCTCCCAACATTCTCATAGTCGTAGTTCATTTCAGATTTGAATACTGCCTCGTACGTTGTGTCAGAATGCTAATAGGGGGTACGCGCAGTAGTTGGAATAGTGAAACAAATGCACTTGCGGTCCGTGATGAGCGTTAACTTAGACTACCGTAGAAACCAACCCTTCTTGTTCTCGGGGTTTTATTTAATGTGCATACCCCCTTTTAATACATACCGATAATAGCGATTTGAAACTATGATCGTTTGTTAAACAACTTTTATCCTAAGTTGAATAAACTTCTGAGATTTTAATGTTCAATTGGCAAGGTAAAGTTATGAGGATTCGCAATCTTAATTTCACATTATTTGATTTACTTTTTTGTTAAAAGTGAAATTCATCGGTACGTTTTCACTGCAAACAGACTATAAACAGGGTTAAAAGTACCATTCACAAACACCACAGGGTGAAAGTTAGATAATGGAAATTTGGTGACATACCGTAGATCATTAGGTATGGAATTTGTGTTGAAGACGAAGACTGGTAAGAGACGAATAAAATTATGTACTCACTCTAGTGGCCAAGTAAGTGTGTTTGAAAGCGTCCTGACGTTTTTTGGTATATAAATCAATTAGTTTCGTGTACATTTCTGCTACAGTGTGAGTACTTGTTATATCAGATAATGCCTACTCTTGATCAGGCTTATTAAAGACTAAATAGAAACGACAAAACTTTCCACATTCATAAGAAATCTCTGCCAAAAGCAGAGTCGCTTGTACAGTTGGGACTATATCATGAGCAGATGACGCCTGAGTTGGACAGAATGAATTTATTCCAATTATGCTTCCTCTTTTTCAGTTTGTGTGTTCCACCAATCACACCATTATGTACCCACTCTGAAAGACATTCCACAGGTGCTTCTCCTCTTTTGGCCCGTTTTTTGACATATGCTTTGACAGCATCCATAATGATTTTAAAGTTGTAATCCCAATTGGTAGGAGGTTGTACACGATATCTAGATCCATATTTGAATAGTTGACGAAGGTTGCTATTGACCACAATGGAGAAGTCATCTGTGATTATATGTCCTGCAGGTTGGAAGCAAAACTTTACATCGTGATCTGGCAAGTCCACGTTCTGCAACACGTTACTGTAATTAAACAACAACCTGGATGAAATCGCGTTCGCATAGAACAACGATATTGTTGGTATTTCCTGAAATTTGAAATATTTTGGCACATTTTGGGAAAGTGATATTTACCTCAATTTGTTGCTGATATTTAATAGCATCCCTCGTTTGCAAATTGCAGATTCGGGGAAATGCGGTCTTTGTCTGATTCAGGCATGAACCAAATCACAGAGCGCGTGGACCCCATCAGCATTTACTCAAGGTAGGTATGATCCATTTATAATCTATATCATTATAGCTATTATCCTACGACTCTATAGGTTGTATTCGCAGTGTCTACGAGTCTAAATACATCACACTCCCCCTCCTCTCGTAACCTTGTAGGGCGGTGGGGTGGCCTAGTGGTTAAAGCGTTCGCTCGTCACGCCGATGGCCCGGGTTCGATTCCCCACATGGGTACAATGTGTGAAGCCCATTTCTGGTGTCCTCCGCCGTTATATTGCTGGAATATTGCTAAAAGAGGCGTAAAAAAACAACTCTGAAAAGTAATTCAACATATACATCAATGCTAAAATACAAGGTGCGTGATCGCTATTGCCTAGAGTTTTATACACGACAAAATCAGTCAACTTACTTTATGAGTGGGATTTGATACTGATATACCGATCATAACTTGAAATATCCGGGACCAACAGAACACTATCAACTCTTCGTTGTATACTCTTTCTACGCAGATTGCATGGGGTGCTATACATTATATAAAGTTATCCATCAAGGTTGCAACATTTAAGGCCCCGGCAATGTTTTCAAAAATGTTTAAAGTAAACTCGTAAAAGTGAGTTAGTGAGTTAAGATTTTAAGTCACATCGGCAGTATTTCAGCCATATCGTGACTAAATCATAAACTTGTAAAAGGTATTCCAAATTTGATATCTGTGGATGTAATGAGGGCAAAAACTTTCGGCAGCCTTCAAGGGACAAGTTTTCTTTTGGGTTCTTACATATGTCCCAAAGAGACCGTCTCTGACGTTTTCTATAATGTTCATAATCATTACAAATTATCAAACGTCGTTGTTAGAATTGCAAGGGTCTTGCGTGAATACTTCGAGGAATCAGATGTTCGACACAATCGCGAAATAATGGCGCATATTAGCGTACAGCCCGTTCCTGGTGTTGCCTATCCCATCCAAATCTTTGCCACCTATTGTAAGTTGATGTCAGGGTCACAATCTTCCTTGGATGACTTGCTTTCAGGTGAGTTGCACAGAGCCGTTGTTCACAGGTAGATGTTGAATACAATATAGAACATACGTGTACACTGTGGTGTGGTGGTAATAACGTCTTAAAGGGTGTTATTATGTTTCTTTGTTGATACACCTGAGCGTAAAGAATGTGAAGAGTAAACAGTGTTAGGAGTTCAAAGTGAAACCCCAGGGAACTTATCAAACTAGGTCAAACGAGAGATTAGTTTCTACCTACCCGAAGCTAGCCTGTTCAAACAACTTCGTACTAATAAATTACAATGCACTACAGCATTCGGCCAGAGATCTATTTCAACGACATTCAGAAAACCATGTAATGACAAATGGATACAAGAGTCATCGATATCTATCATGTAAAGCACAGCAAAGATTATATATATATATATATTTATATATCAAGAAATCGATCACAATGGCTCCTCTGTTAAACGAGACTTGGATAAGAATGTTGCAATTCATATGTTGGTATTTGGAGCATAGCTCCAAGCCTCAAATAGGATTGTTTCATCATATGTTAAAAAAACATTTCGACTTAATTGGAATCTACTTCTAATTCATTGCCAAAAACGTTTGACTGTATAACACGTAAGTAAATATGACGTCATGATCTCATTAGAATTAATTATGTTTCTTGAGCACCTGGTATTATCACTAATTTGATGTGATGTTTCTATCACAAGGAATACATATTTCAAATCGTCTTCTGTGAATGATCTTTTTAATTGAATTAGTTCGCATTTAATCACGGCCCTTTTAATAGAAATTTAATTAATTGATCGTAAGTCCAATTCAATTCAAAGTATTTTTCCAAACTACGTATTTTAATTGCAAACTATGTATCCTTGTAATGTTTGGCTTAATTTGATATCGCCAGCGGCTGAAGGGTGATGGTGGAAATACAGTTGGAGCGAAAGTACTGTTTGTCCTCATGGTCCCTAAAATGGTGATCTACCTTCAATTCATGGCGATCTATAGCCCGTTTTTATAGTGCATTGTCCCACATACTTGATGTTCCCTGGCACTGTGCAAGGTTGGTTGTTTTTTTTCTAATCAAGCGGGAGAAAGTCATATAGTGTTAGTATTGAAAATCTTTGATTTTTGGCAGCCATCTTATACGCCATCTTTGTTTTTTCGGAAAATGGTCCCAAAACATCGGGCACACCCAAAAAATATGTTTTATCATCATATTCCCCAGCACTTTGCAAAGTTTCATGCTTTAGTCCGCCAAGTATCTATTGTCACCACCTGCTATGGCACTAAATGTGTTTTGTGGTTGTTCTGTGATTCATAGGGTGTTGACGTGGTGACTGAATTGACTTGCGAGGTCCCGCTGCGAGGTACTGGAGTCTGACATCCTCACGACTTGCCATCTGTCATTCGTACTTGGTCCCTAGTATGGTGGCCTCACTTTAGTTTCTAGCGATCTCTTGCCCACTTTTATATTGTATTTGTAAATGAATAGCTTAATATGTTGTTTTTCTCAAGCTAGCTTTAATAATCTAAATGTGATATTCTAGTTATACTGTCCTTCGATGATAGTCTTTTATGAAACATTCTAAGATTTATACTTAATTTATGAATTTCTGTCGTCACAATATGGCTGTAATATTGTCGATGTGAGGTAACACTTTAACTCACTCACTGATTCCTACTTAATGATTGTTAAATGTGAGCAAACAATCAATCCACAGAAGATTGCTTACAATAGTAATGATATCCGATTGGATATGTGGCCTTTTGAAAGAGCATATTCTCCAGAATATTCGTTCCTTCTTGCAACAATCATGCAAAACTAGCAATATATGGGTGATGACGGTTTTTATCCCTTTTTCCCCTTTGTCTATCCAAATTCCATATGATATGATTGTAACTGAAAGATGTCAAAAGAACTTTTGCCATTGAGCCTACATGTACCAAATTAACCAATACTCAAATACTCATAATACAAACGTTTGAATATTTAGACCTGTTTAGAATATTTGGCAGTATGATAACTCCTATATTATGCTATGGTGCAGAAATATGAACATATCGGAGACTTAACAAGAGCACTAATAACAACATGGTTCTGAGTGAGTCTGACAGCACCCCACTGCTGTATTACTACATTTGTAGAGCAGTCAGCTACTGGTGTTTGTGGGGAGATGTCATGGCTCTACTCTTTCAATATGGCTTTGGCTTTGTGTAGATAAGCCAGAAGATTGGAGATACAAAAACATGATATGTTTAAACAGAGATTACAAGACTGTCTCACTCAGAACTGACACTTATCTCTCACAGAAAACTTCTAAATTCAGGTATTGCTCCCAGTACAAGTCACTACTAAATACTGAAAAATATCTGCTTTCACCTGAAATACCATTATACTATACAATAGTCATTGCAAGATTTAGATGCATCAACTTTAAACTAGCCATAGAAAGTGGACAACATTCCAATATCTCACGTGAAGACAGACTGGGCACCTATTTTCATTCTAATAATATATCTCTCATTGAGGATGAATATCACGTAAGGATGGTTTGTGACAAGTACAGTCAAGAACAACAACTTGCTTCCCTGATAACAACTGCTATCCACCGACTTTCAACAAGTTCATAAACCTGATGTCTTCGGAAAACATAAATACGTTTAAACAAATCAGAAAATATCTCAGTAAAGTTTTAAAGCTACGAAATTAATTCTGCATTATTACTATTCTTTAATGCAATCGCTAGTTTGCATGCATAAATCTGTACCCAAATTCCTGTGTATGTTGTATGGGCCAGGGGCCTTAAACATTAAAAAATACTGTCTCTCTGTTTGTCTGTGTGTCATGAATCACATATAATTACCAGCTGTAAATTGGTTGTCGGCCCAGCTTTGTGGAACAAATTACCCCTCTCTTCGATCAGTAGAGACATTCAGTACTTTCAAATCCAGATTAAAAACTCATTTGTTCAGCATTGCATACGGAGTTCAGCAGCGCTCCTGAGTAATGTAAATGTTAAGCTCAAATCATATCGATCATTCCGATTGCCAGTGGGGACTATTATACAGAACAGGTCCCCGGTTCCAGTGAGTGTTCCTGGGAACGGAACTAATAAAACCGATCACCTGGAAACATATGACTGTTTTTAGATTCAGTTGCATGTTAATTGCATGTCAGTGTACCCCGACGACACGAAACGATGGTCATTCCTTGTGCAGATAACTGGTTCTGGATTGTAGTATTATATCCTTTATGATTCAATGATATACAGACTGTGATATCGTTGATTGTGGCAGGTTCTGGAGTAAGTCAATATTCATTGACATGTTTCAATAAAAAGCATTTCATTGCATTGCATTGCATTGCATTGCATTGATATAAGACAGCGGCGAACATGGGAAATGCATTTGGTCCGACGTGCAAGCGCTTTAACTATAAGGCTAATTTCATGGCTAGACAGCCATCCCTTCTGTCACATAATAATTAGCACATCGTCCTTGGACGTAGCCCAATAACATGACTTATTCAGGCTATCGTCGAATGCCTGGTGCCTGAAGTCTTGTGAGGTAAGTTATTTACTTTATTTAGCGTTGCACGCACAGCTAAGGTAATTCGACGACGGAGTAGTACACTTATTAAGAAATGAGGGGGAACAAAAAATAGAAAATTTGAAAGAATGGTGTTACTACCCACACAAAAATAGAAACGGAGTATTAAGGAAATTTAAATTGTGAGGGGTATACAGTCAGGTAGGTAAAATGCCATTATCTATCCGTATCCTCTGTGATTAACCGACAGTTCATGAAGTTGATCTTCCACTCTCAAGCGATTTTGAATACGTTATCTAAGTTATAACTAAACACTGGTGGAATGAAAGCCGTGTCACAGCAATTTAAGAGGTTAATTACACACACGCTATGCCATTTCATATACTCTAAAAGGATTACCTATGTCACGGTATGCATAGACAAAGACAAGCACAAACATCCTAATTCTCCCGGGTGCTTTTCCTGTCTCACGAAACTCCTTATGTTTCGGTTTCTGTCCTTCGAAAGGGGTACGTGTTTTTGTAGTCACGTTTGGAGTAATGGTTGCATTAAATGATAAGTAACATATTTACATACTTCAAGCAAGACGCTAATATTTTAGTGAATCAAGCACGTCGACTGGCTTTCAAAATGTAAACATTCGAAATATCGCTGTAATCCCTTATCACGGTGTAGTGGAAGACATATCGATTATGTGTTATACCAAGCTTTCTAAGATTAACGGGCAGGGTGGCACCTTGCTTGGTGTTGCCTGATGTGTTTTTTGTACAACTGTTACATGCAGGTATATATCTGAGTGATAACAGCTGCGACTGACAACAGTTAGTTAGAGGAGTTTGTAAAATTATTGTTCTATTGATTTGATTTATGTGACCTACATAAAGTTCCCTGTGTAGTTGCTAAAGGTAGAAAAGGGGCGCCACGTTCTATTAAAGTTAGATAAGCTATCCCCGAATAGTGAAAATTCATGTCAGGTGTAAGATTTGTCTTTGAATATCATGACACTATGATGGCGGAAAGGCTTTTGTATAAATTATCAGGTAAAAATACAATGCTCGTCATAGCTGCTATTTCGGCAGGCACGCTCCTGCCTGGTCTTACGTGTATTGGAATGTACCTTAACCTAACAATTTAACTGGGTTTTTTATCATTACGATCCGATGGGTTTTGAATATTGAAATATTCAAGAAAGGGATCGGGAAATATAAATGTTAATACCAAGTATCAAAAGACGACAAATGTCGTATGCAAATAGACCTGACAAGACTCGTTCTATATCAAAGAGAAACATCTCAAAGAACAGTCGATTGCACGTTTTCGACTCTATCGTGAGCATGGCTACATAGGGATGTTGGTAATGATACTAAGTGTTCGCCAAAAAGTGAGTGTATCGTGCTCCAACGATCACACTCGTCATAAATACATGCAAAGGCTAGTCAAAGGTTCACCTGAATAAAATCGGGAACGTATCATTTGTATCAATCAAGCTGCAATATCGTCCACATATCTACCATTAAGGCTATACTCAAGCGTTGTAAACTTGATTGCACAACTTCTGGTTGGCGTTCTGGGTAAAAGGAGCATGCTGCCTCAGGAGTTGTGAAATGGAAACAGCAAAGACTGGACTGGAACGATGAAAAGGGAAAGAAGTCCAGAATTTCAAACATTGTTTCCTGAGTACGTTTTCTCAGAACACTGATTTTCTCTTTCAACATTTGAACGTTTGACTATATAGAGTACAATTATGATCAGATCATTTTGGAGACATGCACTTATATGCAATGTAAAGCTGTCGACATACAGTCTATATCCTTGCCATATTGTACATGTACATCTGGAGATAACAATATCGATTTAGACCATGAGGTCTCTTGTAGTTTTTTAGCGGTTATATAACGTGAAAAGAATAAGAATGCGATTATTGAATAAAATTATGTTTAATCAAACGCAACAACACAGAACATACGAATCAATTGACTACAAAAAGCAATGACTTTTCTGTACAGCAATATTGACTAATAATATGGTGTAATACTGTCTATATGTAATCTATACACACACTAAGGCATAGTATTCATTACGTGGTATTAGGGTTTCCTCCATTTTCAACGATTCATACATTGTGTTTTATGAAAGAATATATCACGTTGTATTGTCTCACAGGCTTCGCCAACATCAGCTCTGTTATGCGTTATCCCAGTATCGTTCTTCACCACGCATTATGGAATCGTTTAGTTTTGATTTCTGATTACATTGCTATATATCTACTGAAAAAATTAACTACGCCATGTAGAAAAATACACTCGAATAGTTTCAATCTACACTGGTCTGATATATCAAAATAAACTACAAAAAACACACTTGTTACAGGAAAACAAAGACCACGAGATATGCTTGGTTATTTCATTATGGTGATGCCAATATGTTTGCGACCGTTAGTTTCAGCTTCTAGTGAAAGAACCATAGTAAGTTTCATAAGTGCCAACAGGTGCTTGAGCTGTTATTGTCACATGAACCTCTGATGTGATGCCAGGGACGTTGACTGTGACGTCATTGTGACGTGTAGTATACATATGCATGTAGTCGCTGTAGCCCTTGTTGGAGCCGACGCTGATGGTGTAGGTCAGGTGGTCTCTTCTGGGATAAAACACATCGCCATAGAAAACCCTCACACTGTCAGACCTCCATTGAACTAACGCTTTTCTTCCTGCGTATGTAAACATAATATAGCATTAATCAGTAGGTAAATAGGCATCAACTCACTGATTATTTATCGTTACTTTAGATCCCAGAGTTAATGTTTGCTATCATATTCTACCAAGCTTATATACACCGGGAAAACATCATGTACAGAAAACGACGATCAGCACACGACATCTATCTATATTCGATCATGTCAGTAACGTTACTATGTGCCTAATCGACTCTCGGTTGAGTTTGTTAATGCTAGTTTTGGTCGATATCCCTAAGGTAAACAGATCATACAAATGATCCTACTACTCCTTCGGCAGATCATACAGTAAAAGAACTCAACGTCTTCACAAGATGGTTCTTAGGACAAGGACGGACTAAGGCAAACCACAATGTATATTGTGTACCATGGGAATTATATTCTGATTATCAATGTTGTATGGCATTTCTTCAGACAAGAGGGGATAACATTTTACATTGTATGTACAAGTAAATTCAATCATATGAATCTATCACATGACAAGAGTTGGCAACAGTCCCACTGTACCTGAAAGTGCTGGCGCTGTGCTGTCTACTGTGACAGATGCTGATACTGCTTCACTGACTTGCTGCCTCATGTTTACTGCACGAACCACGGCTGTGTAGCTTTCCCCGTCCTTCAGGCGCACACCTGACATTTCACAGTATCTCAGGGTAGTGTTCATCCATACTTCGATGTCTGTTACTCGACACTGGTAGTGACTGACAGTGTCCTGGTCTGGCCAGGTCCACTGAAATGCGAGAGACGACATGATAGACTGGGGGACGTGTTTCCAATGCTGGCTGTACCTGTTCTGCACCACCAAGTCTACCACACTACCAGCAGCGGATGGTGGCCTGAAGAGAATTTGTAGCTCGTTTGATGAGACGACAGTGTCCAGTTCCACGTTGTTAGTGCACTGTATAGTCATGTACAGCCTGACCCCATGGGATGGGTGTGGGACCGTTATCTGACATGATGTACCGCTCTCAGAGGTAACCCAGCTGTGGAGATCAGATGACAGCCGCATGTGACCTATAAACATAAATAAGATATTTTAACAATACGTTCCCGGGGTACATATAAGTAAGAGAAAACCAGAAACATCATGGATAATGATAACACAGTGTCATTTAGAAAGTGGTCAAATGTAACATAGGTTATATTTGGGATTACACTTTCTTAGTAAAGTACAGATTCTAGTACTTTTGTTGGGTTGGGTCCCATCCAGGATTCGAACCCACAGCCTCAGAGTCAAGCACCTAATGGCCAGCACACAAACAAACTCAGCCGCCTAACCCGCTAAGCCACCCCGACTTCCACAAAAATGGATGGGACTCAACCCAACAAAAGTACTAGAATCTGTACTTTATTAAGAAAGTGTAATCGCAAATATAACATATGTTACATCATGGATAATGGTAACATGGGTATGTAGATCGTCGGTATATATTACCATTACAACAAACACTTACCAAGAGCACACCAGCATGTAGATATTCCCGACTCATCGTCGTCAGCTGACCAGGATCCAGATGCGTGTACTATTGGAGAAGGTTTGCTACCAGAATAAACCAGGTAGGCTTTTACATCTGATATTGTGGGTGGAGTGTGGTCGAGTACAATCGGTTTAGAAAGATAATGCGTCCTCAGTCCAGCACCATTCTCAGCGATGACTGTTGTGTAAACTGGCGTCCCATGGGGGACAGTCACCTCCACCAACTGGTGGAAGCCAGCGTCTGCATGGCGAAGGGGCTGAAGCTGAAACCCTCCTGGTGTTGTACCAGCTCCAATCTGTATGTTCATTAAGCCACTTTCTGGGTCCATCATCCTGGTGCAGATACCTAGTAGTGAGGGCGTCAGTTGTCGTACTGTTATAGCATCTGGTCCATGTGTTCTCTGTCTGTCTGTGCATTCCTCTATTTCTATATCTGCATCCTGGAACGATCCTTTACTCTGAATTGTGACTTCTAAAAGAGCTGAGACTGACACAATTTCTGTATCAAGTGTAAACTGGTATTCCGCGCAGTGCAATGTATGGTTGTATATTAGGACAAATGGTATCTGGATGTGGATGCCACCCACTGCAAACTCAGCCTCTTCATGATCCAGATGATCCCGCTGAATGCAAACCTTCACACGATAATGTGACCCGGTTTCTCGAGGTAAATCAACCTTGAATACATTCAAGGAACCGGATCCATCATTAGTTTTCTCATATGTCATGTTGGTGATGGAGATATTTGTGAAGTTCTTACACACAAATCCATATGGAGGGGTTACATCAACTAACACGGGGAGGGATGTCACTTCATCACTGAGATGTCTTGCAAAGTCCTCTGCTACTACAGACACTGTGTAATATTGTCCATGTTCTAGGTTCAAGTCATCAAAGAGAACTGTGTTCCTGAGTGTCACCGTGGTGTTAGTAACAGTATGTGATGAGTTGTCTTCCCTCAGGTAAACACGATATTGCTTCACACTGGAGTGGTGATCCTGGAATCCATGCCATGAGACACCATAGGATGAGTTATCAGACTGTGTCAATCTACTTTGATGATGTTCAGTGTTGAACACATTTCCACCAACTGGAATGTCTGCATCTATCACAAAGCCATCTGAGATGACAGTAGCAGACATGTTCAAGGTGTTGATGGCACGAATGCCAACATAATACTTGGTACCATGAGTCATATTTACCACTGGTAGGGATATGTTTGTAGTCAGTCCTGCACTTTGATATGGCAAGAGGTCTGAACCTGGAAAACATATCATATTATTTTATCATGCTGTGACATGGACACGAATATGAGCATGTGAATTTACTCCCAATATTATATATCCAACACGAACATATCTATATCAATCAAATATGGATATAAATGTATGAATCATATGTAGAGATGATTCACTTACCATATTTTGTAACACCAGCCCAGACTATGTATTCCTCAATGCTTGTCTGTGTTTCCTGGAACAATCCTTGCCAGCAGGCAGTTATGACAGTCTCATTGCTGTCGAAGACGTCAAAGTCTCGACTGCATGTTGAATCTGAATCTTTCAGTGCTCTACCTCTTCTCACAGAAGGTGGTGTATGGTCGACTCTAATACTCGGGGATGTGAAGACTCTGTATTCAGAATCTGAGTACCAAGCTCTGACGTAGATGACATAGTCGTCTCCGTGTTCTAGGGCTCGGCCATATGGCAGACAGTGGACTATGTCAGTCCTCCTTCCTACATCATACCAGATACTTTCCTCATTAGTTTTAAATATTCCAGCCCCAAAAGGCTCGTTAAGCAGCCCCATGCTCCACTCATATCGCTGAATGCCGTATGCTGGATCCATCTCCCAATACCCGGCAATACAAGACAGAGAAGATGTAATGTACAGGCCAGATTGGTTACGGGCCCTTGGATGTATTTGGACATCCATAAGCCTGTGTGAGGTGACATTTGACATATCACGACATGTTACGGGCATGGAAGGTGGATTACACTTCCGCCCAACCACTGCACATGTGCAGTCATCAGTACAGTAGTGAGTGTCACAGGAGTGACGCTGTAGTTCCAGTGTTCCCTCACGCCTCCTCTTGTGATCTGTTGCTACAACTGAGACGGTAACTTTACCAACAGGACTCAGAAGATGTGCATCATTCGCAGCCCAAATAGATAAAATGATTTCCCCTCCACCAAGTAACTGTGTTAGCTGGATTGTGCTTGACTGATCCTTCACAGATGGGTCATGACTGACTATAATCGCACCATTTGTTAGTTCGCCGCCTTCATACGACGTTCCAACATTTAGATGATAGCAAGAAATGTTTGATTCTGCATCTGAAAACCCATACCAGGTAAGATTGAAAAGTGTTAGTTCAGATCCATTGACACTGCTAGTTTGCCACGTTAGTGGTGGCTTAAAGCCTCCCAATATCGGAGAAGTAGAATCAATCAGAATGTTGTTGCTGTGTGACGTTGTACACAAGCCTGCACGGTTGCAGGAAGTCACCGACTGTTGGTATTTGTCTCCATTCCTAAGTCGCTTTTCCTTCGGCAGAATCAGTAAGTACGAGTTCTGTGGTCCTAAGGTAATCTGTTCTACTGCTACGGCTGACTCGTGGTGAGTTTTAAAGCTAAGTATGTGCTCATGTATTGGACTCCCATTATCAACAAACTTCCACCGTGAATACAGGACACTGTTATCCCACTGTATGGTGATGTTTTCTGGACCATCTGGTGATGTTGATATGAACACTGGTCTATCGATGACTTCAGGTGCAGTGTCATCAACTTCAAAACTGGGGGAGACAGCTTCGACAAAGAGACCTACAGGGTTGTATGCTCGTACTGTCACAAACAGAGGAACAGAGAGTGGTAGGTGCAGCCCACTTGCCAAGTAAGAATCGGAGAGAGCAGTGTTGGTGAAATTCATTATGTCACAAGAACCCGATCTCTGTCCAATACAGCACTCAAAATGGTGGATTCCTGTCTCAGCATCCTCGAAACCAACCCATTTACTGTGGACATATGATCTGCAATGGACGAATGGCATTGAACGATAAATGTATATAAAGTTCATAAACATCGTAAGTAGTTGCATAGGCGATAGGTATGCCACTCATAATTGGCCCTGTGCATAAACTGCATATTAATGTTAACGTATATGGTAAAGCAATTAACTGTCATTCCATTATTTGCAAATGTAAATGAAAATGTGAAAGAAATAGAGGCTTGTACAATAACCTATGGAAAAATCCTAATGTGGATGTACAGCTGAGAAAAATATGCATTGCTTGATAGACTAAAAAAATGTTTCAGAAATCATTCACCTATGACCGTGATATTTGTTATGAGTGTCAGTGTGACCAACAGTAACAACACCAGCTGCAGGAGCGGATCCATCCATAACGACGCCATCAGAAGATGCAGTGACACAGAGCCCTGCATTATTACACGCCTCGACTGTACTGTAGTACTTCGCTCCAGGGATGAAGGCATGTGTCCAATTATGATCTGAAACGTATTCACACACATTAAACATATGATGTGTAGGGCAAGGTAGCCTAGTTATGAAAGAGTTCGATCGTCAAACGGTAGGCCTCGATTCCCCCAAACTGTACAATGTATGAAGCCAATTTTGGGTGCCCAATCATTTTGCTGTAATTCAGTGTATGGCATTAGTGGTTACATGCAACTTAACGTTATGTGAATGTCCTTAGTTATCACTTAAATTGCTCCATAGTTACTTTTCCGAAGTCCAACAGACAGGAGAGGCTTGACGTCCAAAACGCCTGGTGAAGTCCCAAGTCCTATTCTGTAGCCCCGTATTCCAGAGTGAGGGTCGGGAAACCCAGTCCAGTGGCAACCTAGCCCAGTTGTGCTGGTTTGATAGTCCACCTCATCCTTAGGTAAAAGACAAATGATCAGTTTGTTAGAATTATAGAGTTTGCATAAACCAATGTGGATTCAAAGACTTACCATCCAAGAAGAACCAGCAAGCACCTCACCCAAAGATATGAATACAAATGCAATAAAAAGCAAAATAAAATTATGTTGAACAACCACTTGGAGGTCATGATATATCTCTATCAATGAAGACAAAGTACCCAAGCAGCAAGTCGTGAAATTCGTGCCATAAGCACCTCGTCGATTGTCATTGAAGATGGGTTATATTTTAATTTAATGAAATTTTACAGACTAAAACTACCCTCACCTTACTTCCAACATACCCATCTCGAACAATACCAGCATGTGGTTGGGAGTTATCAATGATGAATGACTTGGATATGCACAGAGACCGAAGGTGGGCGTTGTTGGTGGCCTAGAATTCAAAGAATTATGAATTATACAGTAATTGTGTAACAACAATGTGTACGTTGAAGTTTCCACGCCAGTTATTGTTAAAATAAATCCTCCTACTGTTTACCTGAATTCTGATGTCATAGGCATGCCCTTCAATAAAAGTATTATCAATGTGAATAATTGTAGATTCCATTCCTGTTCCAAACTGTAGAGGTGGCGCTTCTGTGTTGACGGATGTGAAAATATTCAGATGGTAGGACTCGATGCCACTTTCGGGGTCGTGGATATCCTTCCACTGGATGCGAAGTGTCTTTGTCCTCAAAACCTTCTTATGCGGGTACAGTCCTTCAACCTGAATCTCACCACATACAGGTGGAGTAAGATCGCCTACTATTTCAGGAGAAATACTCTCTGTCGTATGACCAACATGATCTTCAGCTGAAAAATATCAAATGGACGAAAGGAAGTTTCTGTGTAAACAAGAAAAATAATGTTCTTTTGAAAAGTCCCTGAACAAAAAGTGTCATTTATCATGTAAATCTGATGTTTAATAATGTTTTGGACTGCTGGTTTGTTTTCACGAAGCTTTGGTATCATTACAATTTGATAGTAAGTCAATAACACATGTTTCATGACAGAGTGATTCATCTGAAAATGACAATGATTTTGCTGCGTTTGTTTCCTTCAGTTTCATCACCTTTGATTGTGACAAAGTACACTTCTCCAGTCTTGATGGGAAGCCCCTCAGCTTGAAACGATGTGCGTTCACCAATCTTTGTCCATGCCATAACATTTTGACCATGAGGATAGTTCCCTTCAAACATGAATTGTGATGTACAATAGAAACTATGTGTAAACAACAAGAGAACAGAACTTTGTTATATTATGTGCTATATTCTCTCTCAAATCAGATATGAAATTATGTATGTTTAAAATATTTTAACAGCTTCATACCGATAGCAATTGAGTATGATTTGATTGTATTGGCATATACAACTCCATGTGGCAGCTTGTCAGAGAACCCGGACCAAGTAATGACCATCCTTGAGGGATCGGTGATGTAGCCAGATACTGCGTTAGTTACACTGACGGAACCTCCAACGGGGGGAGTCTTGTCCACCACAAATCCATTTCCGCAAATGGTGAAGGACAATAGTTCCTTTTCTGTATTTTCACTGACATTGGCACATATGTAATAGGATTCGGAATCGTCAAAGTCAATCCAACCGAACCTGACAAATCCAGTTTGTGTAAATTTCCATGCCAAGCAAGATATATCAGAGTCACAGTCATACACTGGAACCTGTTGGATTCCCCTCATCACGAACCAAGTGACATTGCGGCCAGCTGTATTGGTGATGACAGCACTTACTCTACTGCTGCTTTTGATAAAGTCAACATCCAGCTCATGTAGCAGCTTTAGTCTTGTGCCAAGTCGTTCACTGTGGAGAATGTCTTCGATATTGGCCAGTCGCTTGTCATCTGCAGGCAGCTCAAAGAGTGCATGCTCACTATACGACGTAGCGTATGGGTTCAATGTCAGCTCAGCACATTTAGAACCAAACTGCCCAGATGGACAGAAGACTCGTACACATGTGAACAGTTTTTGATAGGAGTGGACTGGTAGCTTCAGGCATTTGGAGGTCTGAAATCAGAATGAGTATGCATTCAACCATCGATTCAACATTTTTTGCTTTCCTTAGGAAATATGACTTACGATAAGTTGAACCAACACAAAGACTATCAACTTGTGTCAGGTGCGTCATTGATATACATTGTGCACTGTTTTGTAAGTAGCTTACATCATTAGACTCATTATCAGCATATTTACCTTGACATTGCAAGAGCCAGGATCTTCTTGCATCCACGTTGTAACCGGGCTGATATCTGATTCGGACTTGACGATTGCCCATTGAATGATGCAACTCCCAGATGTCTTTAAGGACTCTCCACAGGCAATACTTTCTACTTCAACAGATATGTTTGTACAATCTCCAGTTTCATCTTGAATGGCAGAAACGATGTTCCCAATCTCTGGAATTTCAGATACCAACACACCATCAGACAACTGTTCTGTGATACAAATGTGTCCAAAGCAAGGCGATATAGAACCCAAATAACGGTGTCCAGTTTTCAGATTTAGATTTTTGAAACAATGTGTTGTGCCTCTTCCTGTTTTAACCTTTGTCTCGCTGATGATTTTGACACATGCTTCTGAAGATTCATTGTTACATGTGCTTTCCAGTAACTGGAGATGATAATAGGTTGCAAAATCCGTGTATTCACCATTGCCCTCCCAGTGTAGTGTGTAGGATGTCGTTGAAACCTGGTAGTCGGCATCTTGAACACATCTGTACACTTCAATGTTGAAACTACTTCCTTTTCCGAACCTCAATCGGAAATTTGGATTTGTTGTAAGAGGAAAAAACTCTACATGATAAGTTGAATTATCTACCATGTTGCTTCCAGTGATGAATACATCATCTGAGAGAAATGAGAAGCCTTCAAAGGTTGTGATGTTTCTGACTACAGCACTGTAGTGCTGCCCAAGATGCAGTGGATTGTCAAATGTAACGTTAACGCTCGTACTGTGGGAAAGGTTGTGTAAGTCAAGAAAGTTAACCAGCTTTTCATCATTCAGTTCACATGTTGGGCCATCATAGACAGAAAAGGAATGAGGAACATCTGCCACAATCATAAATCCATCTGACGACGAAACAGTTTCTCCACCCGAACACTTCGCCCGAATAGATGTAAAGTACTTGACAAACGTCGAGAGAGTGGGTGACTTGATACAAGCTGTTTGTATATCCGACCCAGTGACAACAGTAAACGTTGCTACGTCATCCATACCTGCTGTTGACCCGATGCCTATCTCAAAAGTGACGTTTCTGTGATGTTTGAATCCAGACCAGTGGGCACAAGCTGAATACTGACGGTGGAAGTCCACGTCTGTCAAGGAGTTTACATCTGAAGGATCTACATCCACGACCAGAGCTGGACCAGGAGGGAATAGTGACGGAAGACGGATTGACTCTGTTCTTACAGTGGTGAAGTGGCCTGCTGAATTGTAAACATACAACTCAAAGAGACATCGTTTTCCAAGTTCTGAGTCCTGACGCTGCAGAAGGACCATTGGATACTGGATGCAACCAGCATGTCCCTCAGCTTTACACACCTCACTTGCCCCAGAAGGAGTCTGCAGTATTGGTGTAACATAGTCCTCGTCCATTACTGTAAAACATCATACAACAACTTCACCAAGCAGCTACCAACTATACAACATAACATGGTTGCTTACAGGGGAAAATACGGCAGAAAGTAATGTTTCCAAAACTAACTGGCTGCTAAACCCCCCCCAAAAAAACTTTATACATGTAAAAGAGTTTTAACTTGGTACGTTTATTCGTGACACATTGTCAACAATGTTCAACATTTGAGTGCAAACTAAGATGCCAAAATGCCAAGAGCCCCCTAAATTGCACATTTCGACGGTTTCCTCGGCTGTTTCACAAGTCTGTTCATTGTTTTCAGAATTGAAACAAATGGGCACATATGAATCATATTGTGTTGTTGAAGGTCATACTTAAGTTTGAGATGCATGCCTCCGGAAGGTGTTAGATTACAAACAACGTTAATGGACAGATATCATATTGCTAACAAAAGTAATTTTATGTCAATGCATTTAGCAAAAATAAAATATTATGACGAAGGGAAAACTGACTATTTCAAACATTGCCATTAAAAAAATATGTGTTCATCTTGCAACTCATACTTACCCGCCCGGTATGTAACTGTGAACTGCTGATGTACTTCTTCAGGGTCTGAGAATGTGTGATTGGTCCAGGTGACTCTGATGTGATCCCCAACTATCTCTGGAACTAGTGTCCCGTGAACGTCTGGGGGAGTGTCATCTATCATCACAGGACCAAGGGTTGCCACTGACGAGACACCAGCCTTGTTTTCTGTCTTGATGAATATGTAAAACTCTGTCCTACTATCAAAACCAGTTTCATGACTGTGGAAACTCGTCTTCCTATGAGTAGGTCTATAACTGGCTAGATCTGGCTTGGTGTATGTTGACACATCATACCCAAACCCTACGAAGGAATCTCGAATTTGGCTTTCGTTTTCAATTAGGCTCCAGTTCAGAACAACTTTGTGAAACGGCACATAAATTACAGTCTCATTCAGATACGGTAGATCCCTACACAGACTGTGAGCTGTTTCGTTGTCTATGTAACGTCCATATACTATAGGAAAACGCAGATTGGTGTCTAGGTTGTTAAGACACCGATCGCGACACATGTACCATTGGAAGCCTAGCCATTGTCATATTAGAGTTGATTAGCCATGGTTGATCAAATATGCATTGGAGACTAGATACAGAAGATGCCTGGTGGAGGGTAATGTTTTCTATGATTGGTAGGGAGAGGTCAAATGTAATACCATCTGAGCAGATAACATCAGAAGGCTCTAGAGCATTGTTCACAGCAACAAGTGAAGTAAAGTACCTGCCTTCTTTAGGGAAAACTAGTGATACACTTTCTGTTGTTGCTTTTTGAATGATGATATCGCTTGAATTCGTTTGCTTCAGTTCACCAACACTAAGACACTTGTCTGCTAAGCCTACGATGTAATATCGGATACCACTCTCATGGTCAATAAAACCTCGCCAGCTGATCAGCACATGCCCGTCACTGGTGTAATCTATGTCTGGACCATCAATGCTCCCTTCTTGAACGATGCCAACTAAAGGAGGTGACTCATCAACCAGAACATCCAGGTGAGCAAAACTCTTTAGCATGGCCCCATTAGTAATGAAGAGGGTGAAGTAATACTCTCTGTTGTGTTGACCTGTGTTTGTATTATTGGCTTTAAGAGAAGTCTTGCCAAGGTCCAGTGTATAATTCTGGAATCCACAGGGCCCAACAGATGGACAGTAACAATCTGGCCCTCGTGGACACCTAACCTGAAAACAAACAAATAGTTGCTTAAACGTGAAACCTGTAGGGCATAAAAACTATGTCGGATATGATGGAGCTATCATGCATTGTGATGCCAGTGAATTTCGTTTTCTAACACCCTACACACAATTTCCATTGTAATTAGAATTATATTTAGAAATTGATTTATGTAAAAACACTTGCAATGTATTTGGCAGTAATGGGAATAGAGATATTCGAACATCGGATGGTAGTTGTATAATTCGTAAACAAATCAGTGTGCCCTGGACTAACTTTTCTCATGCTATTTTATATGCATTCAGAGTAATGTTCATAACTAGACAAAAATGTTTGCCCATTTTCATTAACACATCTGATCTTCTTAAGTAAGAACATGCATGAAATATCCAAATACGGCGGTGTTGTTTTCGTAATATAAATCAAACCCAAAATACGATTATCATAAATTCCAATATAAAATAAATATATTTTCCAGTACACTCCAAATCTTTCCGAATTCAACTGTGCATTACCAGAGCATCGAGTTTCCTGACAGGAAGTGCACCGTTTCCGAGATCTGAGCCCGCATCAGTTGTTCCAAGCGCCCACAGGACAGATGTGATCCCACTGTGGACATCCCACGCTCGAAACTGAAGAACCATCGTAGAGAGATCTGTGTTGTTGTGAACATATACCTGACTCGTTCCATCTCTAACAAGCCAGGTATCAGCGATGTCAGCCACACTCCTGTCTATGTGCACAACTACAGACTCCACAATGGTGTTCAGCATAATGTCCTGGGCTTCAATCCAGACTTCATATGATTCACCATCCGTTAGATTCAGACCGAGGCTCAGAGATTGGTTGGTAAAATCTGAAACTGATGCCCACGACGTTTTTGAACCATTGTTGAGACTCCATTGGTACTTGAAACTTGTGATGCCATTGATACTCACGGTACCGGTGACAGGTAGAATGCCCGTTACTTGATCATATACGCCTGATATACCAGTGTCTGTGTCTTCCTTTACATGGCAAAAATAGTTATTGTTTATGTAATGTTCATTATGATAGCGTTCGTTCCATTCTAATAGAATGTCCCCGTGGTGAATTTGCCAAGTATATCTCGTGTCCTTTGATGCAGATATTACCCTCAGTACTTTCGTTGTCCTAACCTCAAGTTCAGATGAATTATCGTACAACAAAAAACGCCGACTATACCCAACATTTCCAGCAACATCGTGGACTTCCACATATGTAACATACATGGCAGGCTCTGATGGGAGTGAGACTGTGATGTTCACACTGCTCCCCGTCAGGTTGGTTGAATGAAATATGTTGTTGTCATAGTCCACATCCAGTGTATTCAGATCTAAGTGTTTCACACCATACACATCGACCTGATAGTACTTCACCCCCGAGGCTTTTTCTGGGGACCCTCGCAGAGGGTACGGATCAATCCAGCCCGACACCTCTACAGTGATGTTGGGGAATTTGGTGGTTCTGGTGGATAAACGCATGGGGGTGGCAGAGGAACACGGGAATCTTGAATCTGTTGTACAGTGAACTGGGGCAGCATTGTCGTATCTAAAGCAGATGGTCTTGTTTTCGGCAAGGGCAGTAAATCTTTCGTTCCCAACGAGGTCTCCATGGAAGTTTTTGTAATCAAATGAACCCCCAGAAAAGACCTTAATTAGGCCACATAACCTGAAAGCAATAATTTCAAAGGTTTTTTTTACATAAATGACACATTTAGTGACGATTATTAATGTGTGATAGTAAATGGACAAATGACGACAAAATGAACTTTGAATCATCATTTTCCATTAATGAATAACAAGTTTAAATCCATGGAGATGAGTATACATATACTTGATTACAGTTACACAAGTTACCATTCTCCATTTTGCAGGGATGATGAACCATTCAGTACTCTGTCACATGACACAAGTGGCGCAGGTGTGGACGACGAGAGGGCCTTGCTGCAGTCGCCACCTCCCCTCAACGTGGTGGAGGACAGAATGTGTTCTGTACCTTTAACATGTCAAAACATTAATTGAAATATTTGACCTTCAGGAATCAAACAAAAAAATCCTTTTATCTATGTGTGACCTCCTAGTATTACCATATAATTGGAAGTGATTTATAAACACATGATGCTGATGTTGTCACATTACTGCAACTAACTCTCGATACACACATAAGTGCTGGGGTATTGTTTACATTTTATGTTATATAAACATCTTGTGTAATCACTGATTGCTGTCATCAGTGATCAATTCAGTAACGTGACAAAACATACGGTTCTGAATTTGCGGCAACATAAATGTTCCAAAAGAGGTACATAAACAATTCCTGAGTGAAAGAACATTAACGTGGCCTAATTGCATAAAATTGCATACATTGAGCATGTGAAACCATCTTTGATCTCGACACTGTGAATCATTGAAAATATTTTCTGTAGGTTAGTCGATCATCTGTCATGAAATAATTAACAATTACATTTTTTTCAACCACTGTTTCTGCCTTTAACGGCTGGTTTAACATGTTTAACAATACATATACAATCCAGATGTAGATTGACAATAGCCATTTAGAACACTTTTGTCCTACAGCTTGTTCAGCTTGACCTGATCAAGTGAATACTAATGCATTACGTGACCGTGTCACAACTGGTTGGGTCTATTATTGTGAAGGGGTGCATCTTTGTCAGTTAATTGTCAACATGTCCGAACAGCCGAGACAAAGTCGCCTTTTGACATCTCAGTGTCGAGAAATCGCCAGCAATGTCCTAACTTTGTTTAAGCTTAAAAAAGAAGCTACAGATGGTTTAATGTTTCCGATCCGGGCTTTTAGGTAGCGAGCAGCAACATTAACATTCTCTGCTCCCCTTTTTTATGAAGTTAACTCGACCTGCCGTTTGTGCCATTTGACCTCCCGGGTCATGCTTATGTAGAGTAGCTCAGGTCAAGCTGAACAAGCTGTGGGTATGATGTTATGTAGATAATGAACACTTTTTACCAGGTTATGTGATATGAACTACACCTTATATTGATAGAGAACGCAACGATAACAGACTGCATGAGGACAGTTGGGGTCGCATGTTTCTTCAGTGTACGGTGCACACCAGAAACACGCCAGAAAAAATTCGACTGATAATGTTTTTGGGGTTTGTAAGCACCAGTCCCGTTCTTAAATTCAATACCAGAATGACAAATGTCTCAGACCACTCGGTTATTCAATAATTCATTGAATGCTTATAGTCCATTCTACCTGAGAGGTCTTGTCTTGTAACTGTGAGGCTACTGTCCACGATGCCGATATAGGTTCTACTGATGAACACAGGCAGAGTTGATAATACTTTCTTGTGAAACTCAGTTGTTATTTTAAAGGACATTGACTCAGGTTGTATGTTGATATATACGTCTGTCTGTGAATAACAGTCTGTGGTGTTGCCAATGCTGGTACTGTTCCGGACATCACTTCTGTGGTCTTCTATTCCAACATTGCAAGTGAGCAAATCCGGCTTTGTGGTAACTAGAAAATAAGATATTTGAGTCTGTGCGTGTATACAGTCAAAACACATGCATAACGCAGTATAAGCGACTATTAATGAGATCACACATGGAGTGGTAAGGCAATGAATGAATGCAACACCCAAATTGCGAGCGAGAGGAATGCTTTTCAAACGCAGGATTTGCTTGGGGTCTGTTCAACTTTGAACACCACTATGACATATGACAAAATATGACAGAACAATATGTGATATGCTGGATTTTCTCATTGATAACTGTTTACGTACAATTCGGGGATAAGGCATTGGGGCAAGATGGAGGCATCCCGATGGGCATATCCCATTCGAAATATGATATTGAATAAACCTGTGAAATCACCCATCTCTGTTATGTTTAGATGTGTGCTTTTCTGTAATTGGATATAATGTGCATGCCTTCAAAGATATAAAGCAACTATCCACAAGAATGTATGACATGAGGGATGACGTTCCATTATGTAGATTAATATTCCAGCAGCTGTGTCTATATTGTGTACTTTTCAGGTACAGTGAAGCATGCCCTTCGTATTAAGATTATACAAAGCGTCAAATGACTCAACAGTTGACTGATCAGGGATACAATGTTTCCATGTCTAAGTAGTACTCTTAAAAGGCATCACAGTAAGCACGTCGAGGATATTTCAAAATCTGATGCATACAAATATACATCTGATATTGCCGTGTTATTTCAGGTGAACAGATGACCTCCCTTTGACAAGTCATATGGGCGGATACGCTCACTCTTTTCTCATCACTATTTCAAACTGATTCCTTCGGTCATAATTCTGGAACACTGTTCATGACTACGTGATTTGAGATGTCTTTAAGAAATATTTCTAGAAAGCTGGATGTACTTATCTCAGAGCGATAGCGATTGTACTAAGCCTTGTTTTGAGACTTTTGTTTTGTGACTTTAACTACTGCGCACTATTACAGTCAGCTGTGGTGACTTACCTTCGGTTGTTGGCAATTTATAGCCTGTTTTATATTGTCTTGTCATTCATAGTTTAAATGTTCTAGTGTTAATTACTTGTTTTCAATGTATATAGCTGTGATAAACTAGCTGTTTTACTGTCCTTCGTTGACAGCTATTTATGATTTAGCTTTAAGTAGTATGAATCTATAACTTGATATAGTCACGATATGGCTGAAATACTGCCGATGTGACTTAAACCTTTAACTCCTTCACTCACTGCATTCAACTGTGATGAGTTCTCAAATTGTGAAATACTCACTGTCACAGGTGGAGTTCCCTGACTTCCTGAAGCCACTTTCACACGAGCAGGATGTCATCAGACCATTAGAACAGCTGCCAGGCCAGCACCACCTGTTGTCCATGTATGAGCAGGTAACTGGAACATACATAGGGCGTTTGCTGCGTATTGGATAAACACAGCGAATTATGGTAAATATAGATCTTTACATAATGTGAGAATTCACATACAGTTCACATTCGTTATCACTTATGATGATTGATTTAAATGTAAAGATTTTAGCAGCAGCATTAAGGAGTATAATTGGATGGTCATTAAAGGCCGAAAACAAACCTTAAGCCTTCCCTCAGCTCTAGAATATTAAATACAAAGTTAAGAATATATATAAAATGATAATCGAATTATATTTGCAAACAGCATAATGACCGATGGAACGTCTGATTTAGAAACTGATGCATCTGTAAAGTTTGTGAAATTCAGTACAAAAAGCGTCATGTGAGTCAAGTCAATCCTTATGAAACAACTTACTTGTGATCGTAATTTGTAGGGTTAAAACTCTCAGGTAGCTCTAATAATTAAACTCACGATCACACCTCTGCTTGTCTCGACTGAGCCACTGCAGGGACATTTCAACTGTACTTCCCATACCCCGACAAGAAGCTGGAATGCGGAATGATTCTGTCAGATAATCACTTCATTTACAAAGATACATTAACAAATGTGTATAAAAACTGTACGTGAATGATGTGGTCTCATGTACCCTCCCCGGAGGACAATCATTATGCACTACTTGAACCCCTTCCGAGGAGCCAGTCACTAATAATGTCATTCAGTTATCAAAATGTATTCTCCCAAATGAAAGGAGAGTTAACTCTTGCTTCTTATCTCACACGAAGGTCAGCAATTGTGTAGAGATCATTCTTACCCTGGATACTCTGCACACGCACGCACACACCCATGCCCACACGCACGTATGTACATATTCGCCGACCAATTGCTTTCAAGGTCGTACCGGACTTATGCATACCAATAATGTACCACCTCTGGGCAACTGATAATCTTCGAAAACAGAAACATGATTGAACATTGCAATCCAGTTAGAGGTCAACATATTATTTAAGGGTGGTCAGCTTTTTCCAGGTGTATTATATATATGGTAATTCCATTTCTTTTGAGGCCTCTTAGGCTTATCAAGTGTACCAGGATGGACAAATTGCCATCCCGGAAATGCTCCATGTGGACCTTTCCTCAAACATGACTGTATAATAAAGTTACAAACAGCTTTTTGACAAACTAAAATTGTATCAATATGAAAATGTATCACCATGTGTTGGGTTCACTAAACGTCATCAAAGATAACCATTCTGATACTAGAAGCATGAACTAGCTGAGTGACTTTCTTCCAATAGTCTGAAAGGACTACACACAGGGTAAGAATTGATTAAAACGAAGATTAACTGTAACATTTAATTTCCCCAAGCTCAATGAGCAAATTAAAAAAAACGCTGAAAAGATCATCTATACAGTTTCTGAAGCCTTAAATTCTTTATATATTTATATATTTGAGTAAACATTTGACGAGTGTTTAACTCATTAAGCCCGAGAGCCACTTCACTACTCAACACCTGGAACCCCTCACTGATTGCCCGACTCACTGTACCGAGACTAATTACTGCTAATCATACCTTATTTCCCTGGCAGGTTTCGGGGATGACAGGAAACTGTCTAGTCGTACAAACAAGTCATGATTGTTTCATTGTGTCGTAAAGATATATGTTGAAAGAAAGCAGGTGTGAATACATATCATGCATTGCAACGTTTTATGTAATTTTATTGCAAGTTTCTCTTGTAGACCTTTGGCGGCTTTTTTATATTTATAGTTTATCAACATATGCATGTATTCTTTGTATGTAAGAGATGAGACATACATAAACAAATTCTCTCTCTCATATCATTGTGTGAGGTTTAACTTCACAAAACATCGTATGACAATGACATACTGTAAAGAAGAATTTACTTACATAATTTATGATCTTCTACGAAATTAGCGTTTTTGCCGATGCATAACTAGTGTATACCGATTATTTTACAGAAAGTACTATTACGCTCGTCTATGACTATAATGGAGCACATTCATAGCTTGGCACTTTGTTTTATCTAGATTTAATGCAGAAAACATACGTGACCATACAAACATACATATAAAAAATGTATACTACATATTCCTTGCATAGACATAAAACAAAGAGTCACGTGATAGGGCGTCATCAAATTTCCCGAATAGAACGTTCGGTATCTCAACTGTTCAATGTAGTGGCTGGTCATATGTTATCTGCGACCAATCGTATCATGAGATACCTGTCACAGAGGAAAGGACAGGTGATGGGGCGTGGGCGAACTTTCTGAAGAGCACGTTTGGTCACTCAACAGCTTGGATAGAGATTGATTATTGGCTATATCGATATGCTGGGTTTCGGTTTTATCAACTCAAACTATCATGTAATAGTTTGTGTATTGTAAACATACATACTGGGAACGATGTATGAAATATACACATAAGACAAATAGGAGTAGATAGACACTTCCGCGAGTTTATTTGTCCTCAGATATCGAAAACACATTTGAGTAAGTAAAGCAAAGCGATTGAAATCCAACCATTGAGTAGAGATAGTATTTATTTTCATATACATTCTACGCACACAACTAGTACATAAAACATAATGGTTTGCTGTACATGTAAATATAATCTTCACCTTGATACGAATGAATATCCAAACTAAAGTACACGTATTACAGCCTTCACGAAGTGACATTATACTGAATTATTATATTGTATAAACTTGCAGTTGAATCCCCCAAATATTTATGAAGATGGGCGTGCCTATATTTATACTGAATGCAAACGAGGTTCATAAGATTACAGATGTGCATGTATGCAGAAACATTACAGAGAGGGGCGTGACTCCATAAAGCAAGTTGTCCAATGATATAAGAGCGCACCTGTTTATTTTACACTTGTCACGGGACAAACCTTTCAACAAGGACGTAACTACACATGCATTATAGAACACGTTTTTATGGATAACAACATTCTACCATATGCATTCTACCGGAGGCTGTTATTTCAAGGTCGAAAGAGGTGTTCAATCATCTCAATACTGTAATCTGATTGAATGGTTATACGCATGTGAATCGATACCGTGAATCGAACTGATATACTTTCCAGCTTTTATTGACGATGGATCAATAGAGACTGATTTCATTGATACACGTGATAATTACACCGGATTTGATAATTACAGAGATCAAATACAAATGTTTTACACAATGCTCATATAAATTGCATAGAAAACTGACAATTCAAATCAACATGAAACTTTCAACAGCTTGAACAAAATGCTTGAAATACCTTTGTATGGTTTACATGTAATAACTTATGATATTACTTCTGTCTAAGACTTTTTATGAATTACCAACTTAATATCTTTTCTGACAAACGTAGTAAAAGAGTTCATTGTTGTTATAACACTGACCTGTATATATATATTCGATGCAACATTCGAGGCGCGACTTATCACTTAATATTCGATTAGGTAACATTATCAACTTTAGATTATGGAACATAGCTAGTTACAATTCAGTAAGCTTTAAATTAGTAAGTTAATTTATGTCTAATCTATTCGGGCTTGGATGTATAATTATTTGTGTTTATACATTATATTTCATTATATGAAACATGACAACGTAATAATACCTAAAACGTAAATTCAAACTATTCTATTGAGTTTGAATTCTTTGTATGTCCTTGAAATGTCATATATTGTTCCTATTTATTAGGAAGTTGAAGAAAATATAATCTTCAGTAACCTCTAAACCATTACATCTAATTCCGTCAATGAGCATAAGAAGTATTTTAGTATCCATTCCCAATGAAAAGTACCAGACACATACCTCTGTAAAAACATCATAATCCCCTTTCTCGCCGACATGTGTTCACTTGCCAAACGCTGTGATAATGATTATCCACTTTAAATAATTCTTCTGATTGACACTAAAGATAGCATTTCTCGTAAGAAAAGCTAATATTTGCTCAGTACTACTAAATTGGTTTAAATCATAGGTATATTGCGATTAAATAAAGTATTGACACACATATGCGTCACTCGCTGAATAAGAGGTGCTTTCTATTGACGAATATATGTGGCTCTCGGCCTTAATTAGCATATTTTTTCTGACGGTGTTTGTTCACTGTACGTTAATTTGATAATTATATGATGAATAAAGGATGTACCGAGAGAATGTTTCCTCTTGGGAATTGCGACAACTATGCGCGGTTATTTTGAAAACTGAACATTAAAGCCATGTACTTCATATGATGGAAATGTCATAGGTCACAATGTGACCCACAGGTGTCTTCCCATTCTGCCCACACGTTAAAACAACATGATACGGTCATTACGGAAGTAAGGTTAATGTGCTGACCAATTCTACCTTTACTAAAATGAACTTGACCCAAGTCAGTTGTAGCAATATGGGGAAAATGACAAAAAAATAGGGATTCTATGTATCAGGTATCTCTATTTTTTCTGAGTGCATTTCAATCATTGGAATTGACAAAATGTCATGGAATATAATTCTTCAACTTATGATGCCACCCCTCTAGATGGTTATTCGTCCTGGGCCCAATATTGCCGAACTTTGTCCAGACTCCTACAGGAAAGCGTGAAGTCATTGAAGTCATTCTAATGGGGTGTGGTTGTGTTGCATGGTAGAGTTAGTCTCCAGTTGTGGAACAGCGGCACATACATGCAGAATGCACAAAGTTCCAACACAGTGTGTTTATTTCCATTCTACCATAACCGCGTTATTAATTTATTTTAAATATACATACTGTGTTGGAAAATCAGAGGTATATAACGTAATTAGATATATTTGAATGACTTAAATTAACCAATCACAATCCAGTATTTACAGTAATGGTAGAATACTTGCTGTCCTCCTGCTTGCGAAGTGATGAATTCAACATGCTAAACATTTGCCATTGTGTGGGTGCTGTTGGTTCCCATTCTAAGTTATCAGGAGTTTAATTAACTGACTCATTTAATATGTCGTTATGTATCTTTATTGGATTATAAAGACGAACTACAACTTTGAAACTTTAACTTGCCATTCATTATCACCAATATCATGATGTTTAATTTAAGTGAAATTGCATTAATTACCCTTTATCCAAACCCAACAACATACCCTTCAGTGACTGGTAAATGGGTTGTTCCATTATTTTATAGGTAAAAAATCATTTCCCATTTTGTCTGCAGTAATTTTTGTAGGCAAACTGAGATGTAGGTAGTCTGGGACTGTAGGCAGAATAGGATGTAAACGACCCACACCACATTATCACACAATGCAAAAACAACACCCCTGTTGATGGTTACTGTGGAATCTGTACCACTTTTGAATTCTATCATGAAAAAAATAAAAATATTCTGAAGTGAGTGTTTTGATACCAGGATAACTTCACTCTATCTTGGACAGATTAATATTAGAGAAAGTGATTTAATCCTACTACAGTCGTCACAGGTGTTATAGTGATAGTAGCCTGGTAGTGATAGAACACGCCCAATAATTGATAAACTGGTGCTCTCTGACATTTGTTGTAAATATTCCAGGTAAATACTAGCTACATGGGTATGATACTTTCTATTGTCCTGCAGTTAAGTTATCCAACTATTTGTATGTGTGTACGTCAAACACTGAACAGTTTCTATAATGTTATACAATCAGATAGAGACAACATAATTGGTCTCTCTTTATTTAAAGACTTATTTAGAATTGACAAAAATGTGTATTTGTTATGTACCTATGTCCCTCCATCGGGGTCACCATACTATAAGCATGTAATCACCAAGTGTATTATTGTACAAGTAGAAGAATTCTTGTTAGATAATAATAAAATGTTTTCAAACTCATGTAATTTAATCTGTGGAGATATGGACGCGAGAACAGGTGAGAGAAATAACCCTGATATTAGCAATCACGACGACACCCTCAGGCATACTACCCCTTTCCCTGATGAGGAGGATGACCCTGTTGAAGATCGTACTTCACAGGATACAGTTGTAAATAGATTTGGCAAAATGTTGTTGGATTTGCTTTTTATCTTTACATCTTAAATGGACGAATCTATGGTGATAGTAATGTGTAAATTACTTATTGTAGCCAACATGACTCCAGTGCAAGCGGCTATATTCTAAGTTCACCTGATTTTTTCAGTTCATCAATATGTTCAGTATCGGTGATCGATCTGATTCTGATCACTTCCCACTAGAATTGATGTGCAGATTTCCAAATATAGGTAATAGGTGTAACAATGATTCATGCATGGGTCCAACAGCATCAGAGAAAATTGTATGGAATGATTTTTATTCTAATATGTTTTTTGATAACCTGAGGTATAAGATTGCTGAAAACAAAGAAATGCTTCTAAGAGAAATTGATAATGCTATTGAAAAGGCAATTAGTCACTTTGTCAACATTTTATCAAACTCTGCTAGCTGCCAGAAAAAGCCAGTCGGACATAGTTCACAAAAAGCTAATCAAACACCTTTAATCTAGAATGTAGACAAGCGAAAAGGGCAGTCAGGCGATTTAGAACACAAAGTAACAGAACAGAATAGCGTATTGTAGACAAAGAAATCATTATAAATTTTGTTGCAGAAAATTTTAATCTATTTCATGTAAGAAATCAGTAGAAAGATTGCATAGAAGCATAAATAGTCAATCTAGCTTTTGGAAACAGATAAGATCATTACAAAACAAACCCAAACAGAAGATTCTTATAACGAAAACAGAATGGCATCACCATTTTAATTTTTTTTGTGAAAATAACAAAGTTTTTTCTCGCCACTTGGATGATTAAAATAAAGTCTTTTCAGATCAGCTCACAGATATTGATGCGCTCATTCTAAATCTACTATAACTGAACATGAAATTACATCATTAATAAATAAGTTAAAATACGGGAAATCTGCCTGGCCGATCAAGTGCTGATAGATCAGAGATGCTTAACTGTTCCCAATTTGATATAATGCCATTTCTCCATAAATGTTCAACAAACTCTTTGACCATCAAATAGTTCCTAGCAGTTGGTCTTGTTCAGAAATAGTCCCTTTACATAAGAATGTATCCTGACATCCTAGAAATCCTTATGCTCCTTTCTGCCGATGATGTTATTTTAGTATCTGACACAGTTATTGTTCTACAGAATCAGTTGAATGTATTAGATAATTATACTAAGGAATGGAATTTATCTGTAAATTTAGATAAGACAGAAATTATAGGATTCAGAAAGGGGGGCCCTTTAATTTTTTAGGAAAGATGGTACTTAAATGGACAACGAATTAATGTAGTTAATGGTTATAAGTATCTTGGTATAATGTTTAATTCAACACTAAATTTGGACAAAAGTGTTTCTGATTTATCACTGCGAGGATAAACTTGGAGTTATTACACCTTATGTGTTTTCCAATTTTTGTTATACCCAAATACAGCCCATTCTATTGCATGGATCCGAAGTGTGGGGTTACCAAAGATTTGAATGTTTAGAAAGAATTCACCCACTGGCATGTAAAACGTTTCTTTGTGTTGGATTAGCAACTCCAAATAATATGATATATGGAGAATGTGGAAGATACCCACTTTAAATTAATTCGTAAATAAAGTGTTTTAAATATTGGTTTAATATCATCCATATGCAAGATCATCGGCTTCCGAAAATAGCCTATAACATGCTCTTTCTTCTAGATAGCATCGGTAAGGTTACATGGGTATCGCATATAAGGACACTATTATTCTCACATGGATATGGGTTTGTATGGTTTAATCAATCTGTTGGCGATCTATATTTATTTCTAAATGAGTTTCGGAAAGTAGCAATAAATATGTTCTATCAAGGATGGCAATCCAACTTAGAAAACAGTTCACGTTATGATTTGTACAAAACGTTTAGAGCCAGAAAAATATTTATCAGTTTTAACAAATAGTAGCCTAAGAAATGTATCTATTAAATACAGACTTGGCTTGTCAAAGCTAATGATTAAGTATGGACGGAATATATCACTTGAAAGAATATAAATAATTTGTCCATTATGCAACTCTGCTATAGAAGACGAAATACATTTTACCTTTGAATGTCCTTATTACGCAGAAATACGAACTAAATATATACCAGAACGTTTCTCATCTAAGATGAGTAGAATAGGGGTTTGTTTCTATTTTGTCATCGAATGATCCTGATATAATATCTAAATTTAGACCACTGGCTGACGGGGGTCCATATGCCCCCCCCCCCCCAGGTCTACAGGACTTCACATATTGTGCCGATGTGGTGAATCGAACCCGGATCTTCGGCGAGACGAGCGAACGCCTCAACCACTAGGCTACCCCACCGCCCCTGTGACACTATTTAACATTATGAAATCGCAAGGAAACATACGTTCACATTTTGTTTTCCCTCCAGACAATTTGAAGATGACGTTGTTTTTAGTTCGTGGATTGCAAGCATGACATGTGCGACAATGCTGTTCTTGACAGTTTGGTATGACAGGACAACCTGTGACGAATAGAAATTATGAAACTGAAAATATCATTCACATATCATTGTGACATCAGATATATTTTCATCTACTTATCTACTGTAAGGGTTCTAACAGAAATGATTACGGTTAACATTTGCATCGCATAGAATGTGATTGATTTTTATACCATAATATTAATCTCTGTAAACTTAATGACGTTAATATAAGTCAAGTGTGTGCCTACTTGTGCCATGTGTGAGGTCTTTGCCGTTGTTACTGCCCTCTAACCAGCAGTTACATCCAAATTCATATTTCACACCCGGTTCAGAAAGTTCCTCAATGTGCACCTGTGAAAAAGAAGTGTTAGAAATATTGCTACATGCGAACTGCAGTGAAGGTATGCATAGTTCATCATTCCTGGAAGACGCAATAACGGAACCTCGGAGATTTGGTGTTATTTTTTCAACCCTTAGAAATATCAAAATACGATTCCACATACCAAATATTTTCGTTTGCACAAAATTAGTAATTCATATGTATGCTGGTTAAGATCCATTTACTTTAAGTCTGGCGTATAGGAGAAACATAGGACAGTTCTGGTGGGTGTGCCTGAGCGGGAAAGAGGTGAAAAGTGGAAGTTCTGCTCCTTGAAGCCACTACCAGAAAACCTTGAGGTATACTAGTAACCCCCTTGAGTTGTCTCTTGTCACATGCGACTGATTTGAGTTATTCGCTTCCTATTCACTTGTCAGTGATTCGGCAATGGTGCAATAGGAGTGTTGATACAAACCTGCAAGCATGTGTATGTGAAAACAGCCTTGGAATACAAATATTACCCAGTCTAACTTCCAGCCAGCATAACTTCCAGCGTCATTATGCCAAATCCTGAAACAAATGATAACATTATATGATACGTGACAACAATTATACCAAGAACACTAATTCAAACTATATGAAATCTCTTCTCCGTCATGTTGAATAGGTCGATATTGTCCTTGAGGATTTCAAGGTTTTGAAATGGCTTTTAGACGATAATTAATCGTCTGCACAGATGGTATTCGAGCGCACGACGTCCACATGGCATCCCACATCGTGCAACCTCTTGGGCAACGCAAAAGTTCTTCCGTGCGGACCCGTGTCAGATTAGTTTCTCAGAGCCAGCCTCACGCGTATTCTTTTGGATATATATGCGGAAGTATAGCATCGCTGTCTCTTTGATGTTAAATACTGGATACCACTGTTGCATCGCCCTTGTTGACACTCTGTGGCGGTTTGGGAGCAGGGATGGTGAATCACATTACCACATCATGTCTCAAACAAATCTGTGACGTTAAATAATAACTCACTCACTCACTCATTCAAACAAATCCTTCTGGTTCTAGTAACACATGTACAAATAGACATCGAAATGTAAAATCAAATTCGTCGGATAAAGATGTTACTTGTGACGTTGCAGATGCTTGGCCCTGATTCATATTGATATCATCTTCGGATGGAAGTGATAAAATGGAACATGCCTCCGGCGTGGTTGCATTCTAATGGAATGTGCACGAAGGCAACAATCTGTCCAACTGCTAGGTTTATACCAATTTGCTAATATTCAGGTTGCTGTCTCAGTGCAAGAGACACTGAATTCGAGCAAAGGCATCGTAGGAGATCTGGCTCGTTGTCTGTCTGACGTGATCGAGGAAGAGGTTGCTGCAGAACAAGGAAAGCTCAAGCAATATCGTTAAAACCAATACATACCTGTTTGCCCTTTCTCTACCAACAGAACCCGAATGTATCAAACCAGGATACTTCAATATTGGAGTGGAAGTTTATGTACAACATCCATTTAAATGCTTCAAGCGTCAAAAACTTTGTTCATTGAGCTAAGCTCTGTAGTGGCAAGGAGGCGGTGTGCTGCCGTTTTTTTCAGTTGAGCTCATGACAGCTCTGATCGCACGAATGGTAACGGAGTGCATATGGCTTCTTCCATGTCATGTCCAACCTTTGCTTTGTCAAACATTTTGCAAATATAGCAAACCAACACTTCACATCAAAAACATTAGTCTCATCTACTGGAGCCCAGTCTTCCTCATTAAACGAACTTGTGCAAGGCGTACATAAAGGATAAACACCAATCTTGGCAACAAGGAATATCGAAACAATGCATAAACATGATACAGTGAATTAAAGGCAAGGTTGGTATATCTAGTATGCATCGTATAAAACTGGAAATATCAACTGATACCTCAGATATTGATAATAACCCCAGTGAAAGCTTGGCGAAAGATTCCTTCTCATTTTCTTCTCATCTAACTATGTGCCAAAAGTAAAAAAACAATGGTTATAATCTCTGCACACACACACTTACACACACTTACAGCTATATGTTTACCTTATACTTCGTATTCTTCCTATCTCATCGATACTGAGATTAGTGGTATCAACATCCCGCTTCTCAAAGCTTCCAGACATGCGCCTGCTACCAGAGTTGCCTTTTTCGCCGTATATTATCATACTGACGGTCGCATCAGTACCTGCGTAGCCGTCTCCACTTGTCCGTATAACAATCTGCAGATCTAATAAACACATGTCGAGGTTCAAGTTCGTTGAAAACCAGCCAATATGTTTTTGTTTAGTGGACTTAGCCATCAATGTTACAACATTATATTATATTGCATAATACAGGTGCATAAGTAATGCATATATGAGTCCGGACATTTCTTCTTGTCAATACTCCTTCATCTGCACAGGATCATTTGCATTTCAACAGTTCTTCAGGTGTATAACGAAAACTAAGTGCGGTCTCCACTGACTAGATGACTACACTCAGTAATGCGCAGGTTACCAGTGAGAATATTGTCCTATCTCATTTGTAATTTTCTCTTTTAAATGTCAGGTCTGGGTTTAATTACTTTCATCCTCAACAGCAAAGCGTGTGTCTCTATTACAAAATTATTTCAAACAACTTCTCTCAGATTTTACGGAGAAAGGTAGATCTCACAATCACGTTTTTGTTGTATTCAACAAAAGCAGTTATGTGAAAAAGAGATATGCTCCAATATTACAGATGAAAATAGTGAACTTTTAAGACCAAGTGAATGCTCAGGTATAAACATATCTCACTTCGACTGGCCCAGCGTCGGTGTCGCCCAGGGACATATTGCTGACTATGGAAAACCTCCCTTGAACAGTGAAAGTGTGAATACTGGCCATTTACATCGAGGAATTCAGGGATCCAGTTATATTCAACTACTCTGTCACCCGGGGGAACCTGTAAATTTAAAGATATCTATTACATTAAAGCAATAAACTTTGGGCATATCATCGTATTACCAAGTTTTCCATAAACGGAATGATGTCGTATGATCTTCACCTATAAATATATTGCAAAGTACGTCTTACCTCGAGGAAGACATGGCTCACATCTCTAAGATACCCACTCCTCTCATTGGCGATTACCGTGCCGTTATGAAGTAAGTTCAGATATGTTGATATTTGGTCGACCGTGCACCATTCTACACTGTAGACGTGATGCGAGCATAATCTGATGACTATCTGCAAAGACAACAGGAAATAATGAGTTTTAGTCAGGTCAAATGATCATCTGTGGCCAGGCAGGGTTATGTGACACACAATAAAATATTATTTTGTTGAATGTTGCTGTATCACTACTTACATTTATGTCAAGGGGCACATAGTTTTCTTTGGTGAATTGTTCATGTGGCATATGTGCTTTGACAACATAGACTCTGCTGAGAGAACGAGACTGTGGTCCATCTGCTACCTGTAACAATAGTTATCTATTGGTAAGAAGAGATATGGTGTATGTATGAATCACCGTATAATATACTGTCAGCGCAGTAGTCATGAAGGCAAAAAGTAATTAATTTCGACGTCTGTTTCTGAATATCCAAGGAAACTTTATCTATGGAATATTTGGCTTCTTAGTTGTTGATTACTTGCTCATGTTTTTGTCAACACTTCAGAGAAGATATACATGATAAAGCCAACGGCAATCATGTACATTACAGAAGAGCCTGGCATAAATCTTTGGAAACAACTATTGCATTTGCAATACCTGAGAAGGAAGTTTCAGGTACCTGAGAAGGAAGTTCCTTGTTTGTTCTTCTTGTGGAGATGCAAGTGAATTTATAGGACGTAGAAACTGAAACAACGATAGATAACGTTCTTGTGAGGCATATAGAAGTTGGTATTCAAGTATAAGACAAAATGTTATGGATGTCAACTTCTTCTACATCCATATTATTTTGTCCAGTGGAACCTTTTAAAGAACGATAACCTTCACAACAAGAGTCATCAGAAGATGACATATCCCCCCGGCCCCAACATATTTGATAGGACAAATCATCTCACAGTTACTTAACTGACTGACTGAGTTTAGTTTGACGTCGCTTTTAGCAATATTCGAGCAATATCATGTCGGGGGACACCAGAAATGGGCTTAACACATTGTGCCCATGTGAGGAATCGAACCCGGGTCTTCGGCGTGACGAGCCAACGCTTTGACCACTAGGCTACCCCACCGCCCCGACAATTACTTAAAGTCCAGCTTGATGTTTAGACTAAGTCCGAATCGTTTCCATGGAAATCACCACAAAAAACTGCAAATAGCAAAAGGCGCCACATCGGGATCTGCCTCACATATCTGCCTAGTTCTGTTAAAAGATATTAAGAACTTTTGTGCCCCGGAAACGCAGTCCATCCCTCCCTTTTGAGACTAAGTCCTAATCTCCTAATCGTTTCCACGGAAACCGGGAAAAATAGAAATGACAAAAATCCGTAAGTAGCCAAAGGCACCACCCTAGGTTCTGTTTGTAATATCTAACAATTCTTGTTGAAAAATAAACGGTTTTTGACTTATGCTCTGGAAACAAAATGATTACTGACGGACGGACGGACGGACGAGGCGTCGACTATATCCCCCCGCATTACATGCCGGGGGTATACAAATGTACCCAATAGATATAGTCGGAAATGAACTGCCAGAAAGCAAAGGGCGATGTTAAAGGTTTATTCAACCATGATAAAAATCAACAATATCGTAATAACCTGCCATCAAGTTTTACTACAAGCACCTATGCATCGAGGTGCACGATTCTTTCATACTGGCTGACAAAAAACACTCATTTTGGCATTCTGCATCTATGATTAGATCTGCATCCGCAGCAATTCGTTCTCTTATTTTTAGACCTGGTAGGTAAATCTGTGGAAAGGGATTAGCTGTTTGAACGATTTCTGAACGACATATGCTCGCTGTTCCTTAATCTTGACCAAATGTCAAACGTTTGCAAGTTCCAGTTAACTTTCCGATCCACGTGCGTAAAGAGACTTGATAAACAAGAAGCAAAGAACAATTTCTCTGTGCAGAGAGTTTCGTGCCTTGGGCATGCAAGAAAACGTTGATATGTCTATACTTGTAATCATTAATTAGTAGCAACTGTCTGAGACCTTCAACACATCCAGCTGCCTCATTTAGTTGACACGCCGTTTTAGGACATGCATCCGGGCTCATCACTGATACTATATGATCCATGCATATACTTTTCACAACTATTGTCCTTTTACATCAAACGAAATTTGTTTTTGAGGATAGTCAAGATTGGGTCTTTTGCACTGACATTCTAAAAACGACGAAAATCATATTCTCTGACCAATGTTTTATTTCCTGTCAGATCTTTAGATTTCCTTGATTTTTTTGGCTTTGAATGAGTGAGTGAATTAAGTTTTACGCCCAATCAGCAATATTCCAGCTATATGGCGGCGGTCTGTAAATGTTTGAGTCTGGACCAGACAATCCAGCGATCAACAGCATGAGCATCGATCTACGCAAAGCCAGCGAGCCTGACCACCCGATCCCGTTAGTCGCCTCTTACGACAAGCATGGGTTACTGAAGGCCAATTCTAACCCGGACCTTCACGGGTTTTTTGGCTTTGAAGATGGATTCCATACCAAACATTTCCAATAACTCTCAGCCCCAGTATTTGTTCTGACACACTCTGAAAAAGCATACTCTGATCACCAAACGATAGAGTGAGTAACGGCTGCTTTTGGCTGCTCGGGACATTGTTTACTGCCTTCATTCTTCAGGCCGCAATGAAGTTTTTAGATAATTTTAACAGCCCTTGACAGTTATAGTATTGGCAAAATTGAGGTGAAATATGACATATAATAAATATAAGGACCTCGGTTTGTCACACTTCGATCCAAAGTGAATGAATGAATTAAAATTCAAAGTCAAGTCGGCATTATTTCAGTCATATCGAACAATATGAATACCTGTCGTCAAAAGACAGTAAAACATCTAGACCATCGCAGATTTAGATTTAAAACTAGCATGATACCATAAAACGATACTTCTATACGCACAATACAATATAAAAATGGACGATTTTGACAGATTTAGCCATGTTTTGAATTAACTCATATACTACGATTAAAAACATGTAACGAACAGGTATAATTTCAATGACGTTGTCTGACGTACCCTCTCTTTGAGACAATTACCATCCAAAATGTACAGTCGTCCGACTCCCCGTTGTCCTCATACTTCTTATATCTTTAATTTGCTCAATCTTCTCAATAGTACACTCTTATATAAAGAAACGCAAAAGCAAAATATCATTGAAAAATATGGTCAGACTCTTATTCAATCAACGAAAATTAACGGTATAGCACTGACTGACATTTTGTAGAGCAATACATTAGTATCCCGTGCACATTTCACTTTAGTACCTCGTATGACCACCTCTTACTGCTAGGACTGCCCGACACATCCTTGGCACACACCGAATCAGTTGTTTCGTTGAGGATTTTTTCTCCATTCCTCTTGCAGCATGTTAAACAATTGTTGAAGGGTCAATGGGGGATTACGGCGTCGACGTACACATTTACTGATCTGATCCCCCATATGTTCATTTGGGTTCAGATCCGGGGATCTGGAGGGTCAGGTGAGGACATTGATGTTGTTATTGGCCAGGTAGTTCACTGTAGCACGTGCTGTGTGAGGTCTGGCGTTGTCCTGTTGGAACAGCTCTCTATGGCGGTCGACAAGGCAATGCACGTGAGCACGGAGAATCGAGCGGCCGTTCCATTGCTTTGGACGAGCACCAATTTCGTCTGCGGTGTATGCGATGGCTACCCACAACATGACACATTCACCCAATCTGTCCACTTCCTATATGCAATTTGCTGCGAAGCGTTCACCTCTTCGGTGGGAGACACAGATCCTTCCATCCTGTCTGCTGAGCATGAATCGGGATTCATCGCTGAACCATACGTGTCTCCATCGTCCCCGAGGCCATACCCTGTGACGCCATTGCAGTTGTAGCTGGCGATGCTGCCTGGACAAAATCACGCCACTAGCAGGACGTCTTGGTCGCAACCCTCCCTCTCATAGACTGTTCCGGACAGTCTGGTCCGAGATCCTGCGCAATCCCGGTACTGAGGATGCAGTGGAGGCAGCAAGAAAAATCGTCCTTTGGCGTAGGTGGCGCGACCGGATGTAGCGGTCTTGGGCAGGAGTTCTTACACGTGGTCTACCGGATCTGGGAATGTCACGTGTTGATCGCTGCTGCATGTTCATGCATGTGCATACCATGCCACTGCGTAAATGGCTCAAAACAACAGCATTTCTTTCACTGATACCCATCTGTGTACAAAGTCATCGATTTCCAAACGATTATTTTGTAAGCTCAATAACACAACATATTCAACGTTCGAAACACTAAGTTCCACATAGCTAAATTTATGAGGCAATTTTCACTTTGGTTTTACTTTTTTTTAAGAGTATATATTACTGCTAAGAGCCGTTGTAATTATCTGAATAACTTCATTGCCTTCATGAAAACAAATGATCCTCTGAGGTCTTTGTATGGGCCCTGTCATTCATCAAAAGCACACTTTTTCTTGATTCCTGGATATGAAGGCCACCGGAGTCAAAGCTCCAAGCAGCGGAAGGACGATGAAAAAAAGAATAAGCCATGCCTTTTAAACTGGATTTTGACTAAACTCAGTACATTCACAACACAATCTACATTTAAAATATTATGCAAAGTCCCATTGAATATTTCCATTAATAATCTTGTCAATGAATTTGTGAATTTGAACCAGAGAAAGTTTATAGTGGTTAACATTTTTTATTAAAATTGCGAGTGTGAAGGTACACAGGACCAAAAAGCCGGATAGAAATATATTGCCATTGAAAGATAAACGTAAATACAGTTGAGAACGGAAATACATGCCATGACCGGATTTTGACGTATGTTTTCCAGATATTTCCTATTTCCGAACTTCGGGCATATATTTCGTATGAATCTATACCTTTGAAACATATGCTCATCGTACATTTTCGTATGCACAAGTACCTCGTTCATGTATGCCATGACCGGATTGTAAAGTATTTCCAAACGTGAATTGCAAAACAGATACCCCTGTAAATACATGATCATACAGTATTTCCGATGCATTCCTTTGAATTTCAATGGGTGCTGAAATTTCCGATTTCGTTCTAAGTTTACTCAGGTTGGAAACATGTAAACTTACGTAGGTGGGGAAACACATGTAAATTTTCATATTTGCAAATGTTCACACACCTTAGATATTTATGTATCATATCGGATTTCAGGGGTATGTATATGAACGGTTCATACACCTTCATGTTACCTGTGCTCAAGCAAGATGATCATTTGTTTCCATCATGTGAATTACTTAGTTCATGTAATTTCATTTTCACACATTGTAGTACGTTTGAAATCAACGTTCACGTGACCTCATTATTCTTATCATCAAAAGAGCCTGACTAAGATAGCATTACGCAAGCTAACATGGCTTATAAGGCTGCACTCGCTCTTGCTACCAGTATCAGTGACGCTTTGTCTGTGGTGTTGGCAAATCTTGTGAGTGGTGAACAAAAGGGCGATGAGCTGCCCCTTTGTCCTTGCAAGTGTCCCTAGCTGTCCAAACAGAATAGCACTTTATCTCTCTTGGAGCGCGGCTAAATATGCTACACGCACTATTCTGTAAAATAGTTTTTGGCAGTACATAATTGGAATATTATTGCACTGCATGTGACCTTTCTTAATAGTCTCACAGTGCCTGCACCATGCTATTTCTACTTCCGCTCAGCCTTTGCTGTAATAACGCCA